GCAAGAGGGTGAATTTTGTTCCAGAGTCCAAGGTAGTCAGCCTCACACTTGTGCGTGTCACATAAAGACATCTCAGGATACAAGAGCTAAAAGTTTTACCTTGGTTCTGTTCTATTCAAGAAGATCCTAAAGGAGTCATATGAGTGAAATATGAACAAAACCATGCTGGTGTAGAGCCAGCATGAGAGAAGGCAGGGACTCTAGTGTCAGGACTCAATGGGTCACAGCGGGTCACAAACACTGGGGAGGGTCGGGGGCTGAGGTGAGAGAGCATTAAACACGGCTTCATGCATGTAGGTAAGCACTACCATTGCGCAATACCCCAGCCCAAAAACTCTTAGTAACTGGAAGTCTAGGCAACTGGTATTGAATTATTGATAAATAGCAGAAAACTTAGCAAAGCAAGAAGCAGAACATTTATGTAGGAAAATAAAAACACTGGAGGAGAGAGGGTGGGGGATGGGAAGACAGGGAGAGGAATGAGAGAGTCAACTCCTCACCTTTCTCAGAGGGAAGCCAATGGGTGGTACCTAGGACTAGAAAGTGAAGAAGTAATTTAAGAATGTTGCTGGGCACCGGTGGCTCACACCTGTAATCCTAGCTACTCAGGAGGATCAAGGTACAAAGCCAGCCAGGGCAAATAGTTCATGAGACCCAATCTCAAAAATACCCCTCACAAAAAAGCTGGTAGAGTGGCTCAGGGTATAGGACCTGAGTTCAAACCCCAGTACCACAATACACTCAAAGTTTCCATAGATCCCCATAGACAAAGTACTTGAGGAAGATGACAGTGACCCTCCAAGGCAGGTGTGAGATGCAAGGAGGAAAAGTAAGCTGGTAGAGGGGAAATCCACACATGCAATTTAGACTCAGAATGATGTGCTAGTGAAGGAAGCAGAGAGAACTAAAATGCTGATAGAACTGTACTGAGTTGGGGAGTGGCTCAGTGGCAGAGCACTTGCCTAGCATGTGCGAGTCCCTCAGTCCAACCCTCAGCACTGCAAAGAAAAAACAGAAGTATGCTCCAGAATTTCTCTTACCTGGAAAGAGGAGGCTGAGCAGGCCTGTTATTCTACCAAAAGGACAGATTAGTATTGGTACTATAAGGAAAAACTCATTCAATAAAACAAGCAAGAGGATAGAAGCAAGAGGGAACAGAATTCGGGTGTATTGGAATCCCAGTGCACATGCATTGGCTGAACACTTCAGTGAGTGGTGGGACTGGGGTTTGAATTCGGCTTCGGGCTTGCAAAGCAGGTTTTCTCTTGCTTAAGCCACACCTCTAGTCCATTTTGCTCTGATTGTTTTTGGAGATGGGAGGGGAGGCTCATAAACCGTTTGCCTAGGCTGGCCTAGATCCATGATCCTCCCAATCTTAACCTCCCAAGTAGCGAGAATTACAGGCGTGAGCCACTGGAACCTGGCAAGATGAGTTTATATTTTATTTTGTTTTTGTGTAGTAAATCAGCTTCATGCTTGCTAGGCAGGCAATCTACTACTTGAACCACTCCACCAGCCTAGATGACTTTTTAAATGTTCGATTCAGAGAGGCCTGAGGAAGAGGTCGTTTTCTAAAAAGTCTGTTGAGTTTGACATCTGTATTAAGTGATCAGTAAGAGATAATATGTATGATGAACTTAAATTTTTTTAATGAAAACAAGTCTTACATAACTTAATATCAGAAAAATAAAAGGTTTTTGTTTTTTTGGCAGCAGTAGGGTTTAAACTCAGAGCCTCACACTTGTTAGATAGGTGCTGTTAGTGCTTGAGCCGCTCCACCAGCCCGCTTGTGATGTTTCTTTGTTCCGAGATAGGGTCTCACACACTATTTGCCCAGACTGACCTCAAACCATGATCTCTGCCTCCTGAGTAGCTGGAATTACAGGCATGAGCCACCAGCGCCTGGCAAATCTTTATAGCAAACATATAATACCAGTGCTTGGGCCATCTTAAGTTAAAGGCCCTTTTTCATAAAATGCATGATTTTAGTGGAGCACTGGTGGCTCACACCTATAATCCTAGCTACTCAGGAGGCAGAGATCAGGGGAATTGTGGTTAAAAGCCAGCCCTGGGGAAGTAGTTCTGAACACCCCATCTCAAAAAAGCGTTCACAAAAAAAATGGCTGGCGGAATGGCTCAAGTGGTAGGAGTGCCTGCCTAGCAAGTGTGGAACCCTGCGTTCAAACCCCTGTGCTGCCAAAAAAAAAAAGTGGTTTTAAACTTCACTAAAATTAAATAATCCACGTGACTTCCCTATATTACATAACAAGGGTGTAGTAAATTGTATTATAATTTATCACTCTTAGTCATGATTTTTAAAAAAGTACACATGCTTGATATGTATTAGTTCCTTGGCTTATTAGTTGCGTGTACATACCTGGTGACCATTTGTTCATACCTACAGGATGGCAGCTAGAGACTAGCAATACTAACATTTCACTGCCTCACAGCATTACATTACAATATGCCATCAAGGCGACCTTTTTATGCTAAATCCAAATAAAAACATTGTTTGTAAACTTTTGTACATGATTATACTGCAGATGGCTCAAGTGGTAGAGTGCCTGCCTAGTAAGTATGAGGCCCTGAGCTCAAACCCCAGTACCACCACCGACACAAAAAAAAGTCCTGTGGGGAACATAATTATAGTTGCTTCAGAAATCAAAAAGAGAATATTTTAAAGTGTTATGCCAGTAAATTTAGAAAAATTAGATGTCATCTACAAATTCTTAGAAACTGGCCAAAAAAAACTGGTCATATAGGAAGCCTTATATGACACCCTTAGGTTCCTGCCTTGGCCTTGCCTGGTGGGAGAGTAGCTTTTGCTGCCCATGGCTCCAGAGGACTGCAACTCAGTGGCTAAAAGGGGATGGGAGCTTCCATTTGGATTGGATAATTGTGATTCTGTGCCTGCTTGTAAGAAGATTTGGGGACTGAACACTGGATTTATCTTTCTTCCTCAGCATGGCCAATGGCCATGGGGACATAGGGAGTCTGCTGGAACGTAGACTGGAAGACCTCTCAGTTCGTCTCATCCCCATAGAACGGGGGGAAAGAGATGAGGGTCCCTTCCATCTCCTGTAAGGGCCTTCTGTGGGCTTACGCTCTGCTAAACCAATGGGAGACCTCACTGTCCTTACACTTCTTATACAGGATTCTGGCTCAGTCATGGACCCAGGATGCTTCCCATAGTGTGTTACTAGCACAAAAACCCATCTGGTTGAAATCATGATGGCCTGCCACCTTGGGAGTAACATAATCAAGAGGGTGGAGGAGGTGAATCCCCAAGACCTGAGAACAACTCATAGTTTTCATGAGGTGGATTTAGGACTTGAAGGAACATGGAGTGGGGTGAGGAAATTAAGTGAAGAAGTTTCATAGGAGAAGAGTGTCAGAGGGAATAGAGGTACCTTGAAGTTGGAGGAGGGGAGAGAAACTATTGATAATCAGGGATAGCCCAACCAAGTCCAGCTGAGCTGTGAGGCCAAGGTGGCCATTGGCTTTCTGTGCCTAGGGTCTTCAGTACAGCAGAAGGGCTTGGGGCAAAGGAGGAATTTCATGACCCTACAATCAGACGATACAGTATTTTTCCTAAGTGAATTGACGAACCCTCAATTCTGCCCCTTGCCCTGCCTTTCCAGAGCCTCTGTATCTCCTAGACCCTTCCTTGAATCCTTCCCGGATGTCTTGTGGATGGCCTGGAGTCCCTGCCCTTCATGGTACCCTTGGTGGTCTCACTCATCTCAGGAATAGGGCCACCAGAAACCTGAGTCATTCTTGTCACTGCTTCCTTTAATGTCACTCACCAGAAGTGTGGTTCTTCCTCCAAGTCATACGTCAGACTCCCACTCTCACCTCCTCCAGACTCTTAATCTTTCTTTACTGGCCCTCTGTGTCACTTCCAAACTGCTATTCTCCATCACCCTTCCAAAACACTGGATGGTGTCCCTCTAAAAGGTGGGTGCCTCCAGAGCACCCCTACCTTGTCCCTATCCCAGTCACTGAGGGCACATGCCTATCCCTGCCTGAGCCAGCAGACTCCAGGGCAGAAGCCTGGCACACACAGTGGAGTAAGTAAAGTGGGAGATCCCCTCCCACAAAATATCTCTAAAAACACCAGGACTGCAGGAAAAGTGGGTCAAGAGCAAAGAGAGGAAGCCTGAGGTCCTGCCTTGGGCACTACTCCTGGTTGGAAGTGTCAAGACTCCCTCATGGCCCAGCCCTAATCCCAAGGGTCCCCAGTGGTCTCCCACGGATTCGGACTGTAGGAGAGATCCTTAGCCCCCGAAACAGAAAGTCAGGCATGTGGCTGAGGTGTGGATCAAGTGACAGAGTGCCTGCCCAGCAAGCTTGAGGCCCTGAGTTCAGATTCTGAGTACCACAAAAAAAAAAAATTTAAACGAAATGGTTTAATTCTTTGAAGTCAGCAGCCACTGGCCAGCCAGTTTTGGTATCCTGAGTAACTAGCACACCTTGTGTCCATTCTTCCCTCCTGCCTGTCACCTGAATCTGATTCCTGCAGAACATGTGCCGGGGTAGAACAGGTACAATCTTTGATTTTGACTTGTCTTTTTTCTCTTTGCCTTTCCTCTCCTCAGTGAAGATTGTCATTCGGGGGGACAGGAACACAGGCAAAACAGCGCTTTGGCACCGGCTGCAGGGCAAGAAGTTTGTGGAGGAGTACATCCCCACACAGGAGATCCAGGTCACAAGCATCCACTGGAATTATAAGAGTGAGTAGGAGTGGGTAGGGAGCACAGCACAGCACTGCGCAGAACCATGCCCGCAGCATAGCGCAGCCTCCTGCTGAGGTTCCTGGGAAGCAGCTTCCCAAGACTGTGAAACCACCATCTGCCCATGTGGAAATCCCCAGGTGAACTCAAGGTGCATTCATTAAAGGTGTTTTTTATCACTCCAAACCATGGATTTGGACCCATGAAGTTAGTTCTCTCTGTCTATGAGAACTCTGGGCCCCAGGCAGCCATATTTGCAGGTGAGTGGGGAAGGAAACCCCTCCAAAGACTAGATCTCCCCAGAGACCTCAGAAAGCACTGCTTGGCCCACTCTGAGAGCACACACGGAGCTCTGCCCTGTAGGCCTGTGTGCTGTGGTGCTGTGAGCAGTGTAGGTAGGTGCTCAGTCTTCTGTGCTTCATGGGTAGGATGCCCTCCTCTCTGGATCCTGAGGCACTCTACCATCCTTTCAACTCCCTTGCCCCTGCCACACACACTCCAGGGAAGAGAATTGTTGCTGAGATGTATTGAAGAGACCGTAGGAACTCATGAGGCAACTAAAAGGACCAGCAGCACCAAAGAAGCCCAGAGAGGAGGCCACAGGGCTAATGGCAGGGCTGCGCCATCCTGGCCTGCTTCACAACCAGAGCAGAGCAGAGCTGTGGCCTCCTGCATCCTGCTTCCCTCAGAGTGGACTGGAGGCCAACAGGATGAAGAAAGGGGGTCAGAAGGACATGACTGAAGCATCCATGCTGTGTTGGAGTCTGTCCAGTGTACGAGTGTCTGCTTGGGTGACCGGAGCGGCCTGGTGACCCTGAAGGTGTACTCAAAGGTGGGGGGGGTGCCATGTGGTGGCTTTGTCTCTGGGCCAGCAGATGTAGCTTTCATGCAGAGGCCTAGAGGAGCAGCCCTGTCTCCCCCAGTAGAAAGCTGGGATCCAGGCAGTGACACCAGAATGGCCCCTGGCAATTTGGGAAGCCAGGAGTTGACACTGGGCACTAATCAGGATTTTCCTGTTTCAGCCACTGATGACGTAGTGAAAGTTGAAGTCTGGGATGTAGTTGATAAAGGTAAGTGCATCTTTTGTGTTTTTCTCTTTAACACTATTCACTCTAATTAGAAGAGCCTCCATCCCCACTGGCATCACCTCATTTGGGTATCCTTGTGCCCATTACCTTGAGTGTTGGCTTCTCTCCCTTGAGTCATGTGTCCTACTTAAGACCCATTTTGTCCTGTCACACACGTCCAGATATGGCCCAGAAATGTGGAACAGGAATCAGCTGCAACACTGTGGAGGAAATTTGGGTTTGCTGCCAACTATTTACGTTTTGTCTGGGTCCTGTGTCTGGTGGACCTGTCAGCACCAAACACCTGCTGCTTTGAGCATCTGTCTAGTAACTGAATAATTGACCACTAGTGGGGATGGAGAGTCTCACTACTCAGTGGCCCATGCAGGGCTGTTTTAGTAGCCCCTCCTCCCATGTGGTCACTGACGGGGCTCCCCAGGTGTCATCCCAGCACTTGTGAGCACCTGTAGGTGCTGCACTCCAGAGCCTGTGCAGTTGGTGGCCCTGCCCTAAGGGAAATGCAGGGAACAGACTTGGAGGCTCACAAGACACCACTCACTGGATACTTATTTCATCTGGTGATGGTTTGATGCCCAGTTGTCCAACCATGACCATGGGTCACTGTCATTGGAAACTTTTTTTTCACTGGCAGACACCCTTTGTCTCTTTTGTCTCTTTGTCTCTTTGTCTCTTGTTTGACCCCGGTCTAGTTTGCCTGAGCGCAGCTCTGCTGCTGGGAAAACCTGGCCTGGGTTGAATAACCCAGGAAGCCCCTGGTTATTCAGATGGAAGGGACAGACTCAACACACCACCATGATAGGAAAGTGCAAAGGCTTTTATGTACACATCTGGGGGAAAGAGCACCACGAGTGAGGAGGGTGGTCCTCCATCCCCAGGTCAAGTGAGCCAGGAACAAAGAATTAGGGAAAGAGGGGAGAGAAAGGTGGAAGTGCTCTGGGCCCATACCTTTGTTGGGATCGTGGTGTTATCCAAACAGGCTTCCCATAGGGGATCTTAATTGGTGGGTTTATAGCAAGCAGGCTATAAGCAGTTATGTGGGGTCACATTGTGACTGAAATGTGGTCACTTTAGCTTATCTGTGTGGTGCATATGGCACTTGGGTGTCAGCAGACTGTGTGTAGTCTCCCTTAGGGAGGTGGTCACGAGGCAGAGGCAGTTGAGGTGGACCACATGAAGGACTTAGGGGAACTGTGGAGTTGGCACTTATGGCCTGAGAACAAGATGGATTCTAAGGCCACACAAGTGATAAGAATTCATTGCAGAACACCAGGAATTAAGATCCTGTGTCCACAGCTGAGGACGCAGCTCCCACACAGACCTCCCTCCCTCCCAAACCTGGGAAACAGCAGTAGGACCCCCCCCCCCGTCCCCAGTGTCCTCACAAAAGTGCCTGATTTCATTCCTGTCTTCTCACATCAGGTCACAGGTTCCTCTGTGACCCACAGAGTGAGAGCTCACTGACTACTCTAGCACTAGAATTGTATGTGTGTGCATGAGCTTCTGGGACTGAGCCACGGCTGATCTCTCACATGCAGCCCCTGATCTTCAGACGTGGTCTCTGACTTTGCTACACAGCCTCTGGCCTAACCAGCGTGGCTGTGCTGTGCTGTGCTGTGCTATGAATCTCCAGGTCTAGGGCTTCACTGAGAGGTGTGTCTCACGGGTTGTGGTTTCTGGTGCAGGGTGTATGTCCTTCTTTCCTCAGCCTGCGTTCATTTGGGGGGCGGGTTGGGGTCAAGTAGGAACACCAGCTGGTTGAGAACAGTGCACAGAGTGATTCCAGCAGAATGTAGCCTGAGTGAGCCCCGCCCATTGGGTAAGCGTCACCCTTGTGCTTCTTCTCCATGCCTTCTGTGCATGCCGTGTGTGACTCCAGAGCGTTTGGAAGGTGCCCACCAAACAGAGGTCATGTCGTTGTACCCACTTTGGGGGCAGGAGTTGCATCTGTCTGCAGCCACCTGATTGCATGAGGCAGACCTTATGAATCGTATTGAAGCTTCATGAAGGGAGGGTGATGGGGAGCAGCCTCAGCAAGTTTTGACTTCCTCTGGTGCCTCTGCTAAGCCTCAGGCCCCTGTCTAGTCCCTTCTCTCCTGGCCAAGGCACCTCTCCTCCCCGCTACCCAGAGCTGGTCTCATGGCAACTCACTAGGAATGGAGGCTTATGTGGGTGGGAGCACATTCACCCACTGGTCAGCAGTGCTTGTACCCATGTGAGGGTCTCCAGCGTGGGAGGACCAGTGAGGATCAGGCTTGGCTGGCTCCTGTACCTTTTGAGGCAGGGCTTACCCTGCCAGTCAGAGCGTGACAGGAAGTGCAGAAATGCTGGTCCCTGTTTCGGGAGTACCAGCTGTGGTTACCCCAGCCTCACCCTAGTGAGGGCCCTGCACCTCACAATGTGTCCCCTGTATCCCTCCCACCCTGGACTCAGCCATGGGAGCCAGGCTGTCAGGAGGGGCATTTTTCCTCAGTGGCACCTCACCTCTAGCCACCCTCCCAGGAAGCCTCCTTAGGTTAATAGTTGAACCAACACAGTCCAACGTGACACTACAGAGGTCAGGGTGGGGCCAGGGAGGGGTGCTCCCCCTTTCGGCAGTTCCTGAACCCAGCAAGTACACCCCTAATTTTTGTTTGTCCTCTAAAAAGGAAAATGCAAAAAGCGAGGCGACGGCTTGAAGATGGAGAATGACCCCCAGGAGGTGAGCCCTATCGTCAGGCTAGTCTTCTCCTCTGTCCTGAGCAAAGCTGCCTGTAGTCATTTACAAACCCAGGCAGACCCTACCTCCTGCTTTCCTGGGCTCCCTGAGTGTACTCCTGCCCATGGACATGTGGTCATAGTCCACATGACCACATGTGGACTGTCTCCAGCTGCCCGTGAGACCCTGTGCTGCCAGGGTTGAATTTTAGGTTGGCTGCCCTTGCTTCACTGGGAAGATACTGCATTGGACTGATTCCTAGTTTGAGTTTGAATGACCTGAGGGGCACGTATGTGGCCGCATTTTGCCTCAGCCTTCAGAAGTGCTTACACGTTTTGGGGCTGTGGCCGTGGTGCCCATAAGTGGGACCATGGTGCTCAGTGGGTGGTCCTCCCTGGGAGCTGCAGCACAGTGTGCCCATTTCTGTGATCCCGACTGTCCTTTCTCTCAGTTGTTTGAGTGCCGTTTCTCCTCCCTCTATCCACAGAACACCTCCTCTGTCTTAAACTCAGGAAGTTTAAGTGATGCACACATCCCCTACACACTCTGTGTGGCCTGTTTGTGTGCTCCAAAAGTTCTGGAACAAATCTTATAAGGCAGCTGACAGCTCCAGCACTGCTTCCCTGCTTCTGAGTGGTAGTTGGAATCCACAAGCCCTGGGGAAGATGCTACTAATGGTTTGTGGGGGCCTGAGCAGGCCTGTCTCCTGCATTGGTAGAGTTTGCTGCCACCCTGGCCCATGAGCAAGTCTCATGAGCACCCAGCAGCATTGTCTCTTCATATCTTTTTCCAAATGAAATGACGATTGTCTTTTCAGATTAGAAAACTCCCATTCAGCCTTTTCCAGGTGACTGAAGGTCCACAACTGGGACCTTGCTGGGAACATGGTCTTGACACCTTTTCCTTCCTGTTCCTAGGCGGAGTCTGAATTGGCCCTGGATGCTGAGTTCCTGGATGTGTACAAGAACTGTAATGGGGTGGTCATGATGTTCGACATCACCAAGCAGTGGTAAGCGGGGCAGGCTGCTTGGAGTGGCTACACAGCTGTTAGCATCAGGTGACCTCATCAGCCAGCATTCCTTTGCTGGTGTGGCGCTTCCGGCCTAGAGGACTGAGGCATCTGTGCCATAAGACAGAATGGGTTCAGGTTTACGCCCGTGCAGTAAGAGGGTGAGATGGAGCCTGATGGTGGCTCAGGCTCACGGTGCATAGTAGTCTAGGTGAGGCATGTACCTTCCACAGCCCCACCGTTTTGAAGGTGGTTGTTGTTTTTTTGAGTTTTTTTTTTTTTTTTTTTTTTTTTTGGTGTGACTGGGGTTTGAACACAGGGCTTCATTCTTGCAAAGCAGGTACTCTACCACTTGAGCCACTCCTTCAGTCCATTTTGTAGATGGGATCATATGAACTATTTGCCCACGCTGGCCTCCAACCTCAATTCTCCAGATCTCAGCCTCCTAAGTAGCTAGGATTACAGGCATTAGCTACTGGTGGCTGGCCCAAAGACACCATTTAAAACGGCAGAATCAAGTGTCCCACTGGTATTGGGGATCCCGAAGGCCTCTTCATTCATGGCTCATTAGGAAGACACAGCTAAAACTCATGACTGCAAAGGACAAAGAGCAAAGCAAACAGTGAGCAGAGGTGCACAGAAACCAGGCATGAGCTGCAGAGCCTCCCCTGGAGAGTCTCTCAGGACCCATCTAATTCCTTGCTTACTTGTATGACAGCACTTGACATGTGCCCAGGGGACTGCCTGACATGTACCAGCATGAGACTGAAAGCACTCCTGTCACCAACGATGGGAAAAACAGCTGAGAAGCTCCCAGATGCCTATAGAGGGCCACCCTGAAGTCTTGCCTGCTCTGCACACACTGAAAACTAGACTCCAAAAATGCTGAGGGAAGGAAGGCCTTATGGCAGCCTATTTAGAAGTGGTATTTGGGGTGCTCACCCTACCGTTTATTCTGTTTTTAGATACGTATTTTTTTTATTATTGCATATGCAATCCATGTTCATTGTAGAATATTGGCAAATGCAGGGGAAGACAATCTTTCCCATTCTCATAGGCCACAACACTCAATTTCACATGGGCAAAGCCATAAGGAGCTTGTCTCCCTGCTCTGCATCTGAGATGGGAGTTCAACTTTGCACATGGGTGTGTGCTTTGCTGAACTGGAGCACATGGTCCAGGGCAGAGAGCCACCTACTATGTACAGTTTGCCACCTGCAATCCCCAGAGGCCTTTTGCATGTGCTGGTAGTCAGTCCTTGCTGGGCAGTGCTGTATGCATATCGGTGCCTGCGGGGTGGGAGGACTGGGTCTGGGCAGGCAGCTGCTATGCAAAGGCCACAGGCAGCCACGCCAGCCCAGACCATGGCCACTGAAGACCTGTAGGTCCATGTCCCTGACTCAGTGACTTACTAACTGGGAACTTCACTCCCAAGTGTTAGTACTATATGGGATGACCCATATAGTAGAGCAGTAGGGCAGCCCTGTGAACCTGTGATGGCTGATACACCTGCCTGTGTGTGACTGTGCTCCTAAGTAAGAGAAGCATGTTACCTAGGCAGGTGTAGTCAGATCCCAGAGTGCATGTGCAGTACCGCAAGAAAACCAGCCGTCAGCTCAGCTCCACTGAAGCCCCTGTGGCCTTCTCAGGCTAGCCGTACAATGTCCTGCAGCTTCTGAGAGGTCAAGCTGAAGAGAAGGGCAGTGCCCTGAAGGCTGGTGAGGACCCAACAGCTAGTCCGAGGGGGGAGCCACATATGTGTCCAGGCTGCAGAGTGCAAAGTAAGCAGAAGATTGAGAAACGTGGCGCAGGTGTCCACCTGGGTCTGTGAGGCCCCATTGGCAGGTTGTGCTCAGAGAACCAGGTGTGGACTGCAGTTGTTTATCAGTCTCAGTGCTCAGAGACTTGTTGGACTCTGGCATGTTTGGTTCAGGTGGTGACTGGGTGTCAACAGACATCTGGACATCTGTCAACAGAGCCCCAGCACCCATGGGAAAGATGGAAAGTATGGGCCCTCAGTGGCCACATCATGCAGTAAATGCACAGCGTGCCTCATGGGTCAAAAAATGCAGGAGATGTGCCCAAGTGGACATACTAGAAGATGAGAGAGGCCACTACAGTTATAGACATGTCATTTTTCTGCTTTCTTGACAGGGAATCTGAGACACACACATCACTGGTTGGGTTATGGGGGGACATTATTTTTGAGACAAGGTCTTGTGTAGCCCAGGCTGGCCTTGAATATGAAATCCTATGCCTCTGCCTCTGAATGTTGGGATTACAGGCATGTTTCACCATGCCCAGTTGGTTGTGTCTCTACAAGCTGTTTGGGATGACCCAATAGGGCAGCCCCACAGTAGATCAGTCCTGAAGAGACCTGTTTTTCTATCCTGCCAGCCTTCTGGGTAGCATTGTTTGCTACAGAACCAGGCTCTGGTAGCAGTTCATTTGCCTCCAGTGACATCTCAGAGTCAGCAGTGACACCTCAGTGATGGTGTTCACAAGCCAGGAACAATGAGCAGGGAGAAGTGGACAAGCTGCAGCCCTGACCTCAGCGCATGGCAGAGCTGAGGACAGGTCATGCAAGGATACGTTCATTTCATTGTGATGGTGGAAATAGGCCAAAATGGAGTTGATTTTGTAGGAGCACAGACATATGGCACTCCAGCAAAAGACTGGGAATGGAGCGTCTGGATTTGCGGGTACGGGGAGGTGTATGCCATCCAAGAAAGGAAGTGGGCATGGCTGCAGGCCGGGGGGATTGCAGCACTCATTATTCTTTCTTCTCTAACACTGCCTGTGGCGACAACTGGTTTGGGTTGAGTTGAAAGGCAGCCCCAGCACATGCAGCTCCCTGGGTGGGGGGTGGGGCGCACAACTAAGGCTAAGACACACTCCCCCCTTCCAAAGGACCTTCAACTATGTCCTTCGGGAGCTTCCCAAAGTGCCGACCCATGTGCCAGTGTGTGTGCTGGGAAACTACCGAGACATGGGCGAGCACCGAGTCATCTTGCCAGATGATGTGCGTGACTTCATCGATCACCTGGACAGGTGAGTGCTACCAGCCCTACTTCCACGTAAAAACCCATGTGTTCAAGTTGCACTGGGGAAGGACAGGAAGTTTGCAGACATTCAGGCAGCAAAGGTGGAAAGCCTGGGCTGTGTGGAAATGAAGCAACATGGCCCTGGCCCAGGGAGGGATCATGGCCCATAGTGAGGGAAGTCAGAGGGGAAGACCTGTGGCGCCAGCCTCTGGGGAGCCCACTGAGTCTAAGGTCTCTGTGGTTGGCAGTGCCATGGGAGATCTGAGCGAGGGCAAGGTGCCTGGCCCCGAGGGACCGTCTAGCTCCTGTCCAGTTCCTTAGACCACCTCAAGAGGTCACCTGCTGAAGACAACTCAGAGCTCCACCACTTGGCAGGCTTAGCAGGAGCCCATGGCCGGGTTCTCAGGAGCCTGCTGCAGGAAGGGGCCAAGTGGACCAGCAGCCTTACGCCTAGATGTGGTCCTTGGCACAGGATGGGGCTGAGCCATGTTGCCCTGCTAAGACCTTCCTCTTATATCTTTGTTTGAAAACAGACCTCCAGGCTCCTCTTATTTCCGCTATGCTGAGTCTTCCATGAAGAACAGCTTTGGCCTGAAGTACCTGCATAAGTTCTTCAACATCCCATTTCTGCAGCTGCAGGTGAGTCCTTACCATGCGGGACATACAGACATATGGCTCTTTTGTTTCTCTGCATGAGGATGGGCCTCATCTCAAAGCCCTGAGAATGTGGTTTGTGCCATGTGCTTGAAAGCTGGCCACCAGCAAGGATCCATGCAGAGCAATCAGAGCAGGAGGCCTAGGGTGGATGACATGCCTTCTCTACTCACTAAGGAGTGCACCCCAAGGCAAGGTCTCGCTTTCTCAAATGGAGCCCTTTGCCTCTCTGGGGCACATCCCAGGTGGATCTGGAGACCTAGGTAACACTGAAATGCTCAGCTAGCCACCCTCGCCATGGATCATGGCCCTTTGACTGTCTCACTAAGGACAAGTATGAGGACTCTCTGGCCATCAGAAAACACCTGTGCCCCTCCCTGCTCAAGGTGTCCAGCCTCACAGGCACAGATGAGGTGAAGGGCAGCCCACCAGTGAAGCGCTGTACCGCCCCACTTTCCAGTGAGCATTCCTCTTGAAACCTTGTAGATTTCTAGAAGTTGCAGAATGGTACAGGGTGTCTACATCCTCACCTAGCTCCCAGTGCCTGCGTCTTATATTTCCACAATGCTTTTGTCAAAGTCAAGGAACCAATGTCAGTCTGTTAACTAAACTGAAGCCTCCACCCAGACTGACCTCCTCTGTCCAGGATCCCTCCAAGGGCTGCCTTGGGGATGGATGACTTTAGCCATTCTTAGGACTGGGCAGGTGTAAAGACTGCCTCTCACTTGGATCCAGACTGTAATTTCCTCATGGCTAAACTTGGGTTTGGGTTTGGACAGAACACCACAAAAGATGACGCACTCTTTGCATCACCTCATCATGCAGGTCATGGCATGCACATGGCCTCTCATGTGGCAAGGGGGACACTGGACTCCCCAAGAGGTCCTGGGCTCCTCCAGTTTCTGCTGTGGGGCACAGCTCTGTGGGAAGGGCAGTGTTCTGGGAGTTGTAGTCCTGCCCAACTCTTAGGACACCAGGTGCTTTAAGGTATACATCCTTTGTTTCTCTGACCCGGAGGTATACTGTGACTTCCCAAAGCCAGAACCCCTTCCCAAGCCAGGAGAGCAGCTGGGTTTGTAGGACTTAGGACAAAGATCCATGGGCCCTGATGGTGAGAACAGAGGACTAATCTCTGAACTGAATCCCTCTAGGAACCTAGGAACCAGGACAGCTGTGGAAAGCCACGTGTGAGGTGATTAGTGGACAGGAGGAGGGCTGAAGGGGCCTGCATCTGGGGACCTGTGGCAGTTGTGGGGGCTTCATTCTTTCTCCAGGATACCAGGCTTGCTTAGGAAACTGAAGCCTTTCCTTTTCACCTCTTTTTCCATTTGAGAGCTGTAAGGCTCCTGCAGGTGGGGCTATGCTGAGGAGCCCTCAGTTAGGAAGAAGGCAGGACTTCAGGGTCCTACAGTGCAAAGGCCTTTCCTTTGCAGACTCGTCTCAGTTCAGAAATAAAGGAGCTCAGCTGCTGCATGCCATGAAGGTTTTGCCACTGGCTTCCAGAGTCACCAAGGAAGAGAATGGGATGCCAGGACCAGCATAGTGTCCCTTCTGTCGTGCATGCATGCAGGGGACCCAATGCCTACTGTCTGTCTGTAATGGCTGCCAGCCATCTGGTCTCACACCTGCCCTGGATGTCCTAGAATGAAAGCCCAGGTCTCCTTTATTTCATCCAAAGATATTTGCAACATGTCTCTTAAAAGTCAAGACTTCTGCTGGGTGTGACAGTATACTCTTGAAAGCCAAGCACTTGTGAGGCTGAGACAGGCGAATTATGAATTTGAGGCCACTCTGGGCTACATAGTGAGAACCTGTCTAAAGAAAAAAGAAAATCAGGTCTTTTATTTTTGGTGGTATTGGGGTCTGAACTCATGACCTTGCACTTGCTAGACAGGTGTTGTACTGCTTGAGCCACATCGCCAGCCCTTTTTCCTTTAGTTATTTTCCAAATATAGTTTCCCCCTTAACAACCAGGCTGACTTGGACCATGGTCCTCCTATTTACGCTTCCCATGTAGCTGGAATGACAGGCACATCACCACCACACCCAGCTTTTTACTGGTTTCGATGCGGTCCAGCTAAATTTTTGCCTGGGTTCTCCTGATCTCCAGCTCCCAGGTAACTAGGAATATAAGCATGCATGAGCCACTGTGCCCAGCTTGAAAAAAAAAATCCAAACTTCGTAACACAACCACAGCACCAAGAGCACAAAACAATTCTTTAGCCAGGTTTGTGGCTTATGCCTGTAATCCTAGCTACTCAGGAGGTAAAGATCAGGAGGATCAGCAGTTAAAGCCAACCTGGGCAAATAGTTCACAAGAAACCCTTCACAAAAAAGGACTACTGGTGGAGTGGCTCAAGGTGTAGACCCTGAGTTCAAACCCCAGTACTGCCAAAAAAAAAAAAAAAATCCTTAAATCATTTGGTCATTATGCAGAATAGGGTCTAAGCTGGATTCACACATTGCATTTGGTTAATGTGACTGTCTAGGTTTGTCTTTGTAAATCATATCTTCATTTTTAAAATGGCCATCATCACATACCCAGTTATTCCCTCAGGGTCCTGGGTGTTACGCCATATTGTTGTCATGGGTCCTTTGCAGTTCTTATCATCTGATACAAATCCCAAGTCTCTATAGTTGCTCCCACTTTTTCCATGGTTTGCTCTACTAAAAACCCAGTATGGCACTGGGGCCGTCCCATGGTCATGCTGGGCCCCGTATTTTCTATGCTAGCAGCATGGGTCCAGTAGCACCTCTGCAAGGCAGAAACACAACACAGGCCCTGCTCTGTTCTTCATACCTCACATGCACTTAGCCTGGTGTGATGTTTGCATGTTGAATTTGAGTTTAAATGTTAGAAGCCTGTGGACTAGCAGGCACAGTAGCAACATGACCCAAAGGCTTGATCTGATTGATTCCTGCCTTCAGGCCTAAAGGGCTATGGTTTGCTCAAGCCATGGCTGGCAGAAGCCTTCACCCAAAGCTGTTCCTGGGAGTCCCGGGGCTTGACCATGGCTGTGTTTAGCCTGAGTGGCTGTTGTACCCAGCATGCTGACATGGTTGAGGCTGTGCTCAGGAAGGTGCCAGCCAAGATGGCACCAAGGCCTTCTGGTATGGAACCTGTGTGACTGACATCTGTCCTCTGAGCCACATGGTCTGACTGTGGGCATAGAGTCCTGCTGAGAGGCTGCAGGAAGGGAAGGGGGCATTCTGCTCAGTTCTGTCCACTTCCTCTCTAGAGGGAGACACTGCTGCGTCAGCTGGAGACAAACCAGCTAGACATTGACGCCACACTGGAGGAGCTGTCGGTGCAGCAGGAGACCGAGGACCAGAACTACAGCATGTACGTGGGCCAGCATCTGGGGATGTGTGTGCCTTGTCTGCATGCTGACCCCTCAGAATGGGAGGGCTGGTTCTGCACCCTATTGTCAATGGTCCCTGGTATCCACAGACATGGGTCAGGCACCAAGATTTGGTCTATACCAGTGAGGCAGTGGAGAGCGTACCAAATGGCTAGCAAAGCAGTCAGCTTGAGCATCATCTGCCTAGACTGGTAGTGCTCAGAGTGCAGCTGGTCACTGTCCCTCAGCAACCCATCCCAACCCCCTGGGACAGGTGCCCTGTACTATCATCTTCATTCTTCAGCCTTTCCTTTTCCTCTGTTTAGGTTTTTTATTATTAACATGCAATAAAAATATTTAGAGTCAGATAAGCACTTGTCCAGAGCAAGTGACTTAAAACTGTAAATGGAGTTATACCGGCCCAGGAAGCAGCCTTGGCCCCTCCTCAGCTCCTGGCAGACACTCCCAAGGGTGGACTGTGGCAGCCCATGTACACTTATGAGGCCACACTCTCTACACTTGGGAGTGCTTCTTGCCAGATCCCCTCCTAAAGGCCCAGCAGAACCCACAGGTGTCCATTCAGTCCCAGTGGCTGAGGGCACAGTGCATGCAGGACCTAGATGTAGAGTAGTGTTGGGTACAGACAGCTGCTCAGTGTAAGGCCTGATTCCCCAGCCCGAACAAGTGAAGCCTCAACAGCCAGCATTCGGTCATCACTGCTGGCCCTGGTGAACTCAGGCCATAGCTGCCTCCTGCCCCTGTGGGGCTTGGTCCCCTGGTTGATGCCAGTGTGGAGGAGGAGCCTGGCTTGGGGGATGGGGGCCTCTAGTGCTAAAGGCAGGGCATCTTCCACATGTGCCTGGCTACCAGGCAGCAGAGGCTATGGGGTTGGTGGCAGCCCAACAGCTTTGATCCTCCACTTCAGTGTAATGCAAGCTGGACACTGACATGGCAATAGCAGGAAGCCTGCTGCTGAGGCCTTTCTAGGTGAGGAGAGGCCAGGCTCCTCATTCCCTACCCTCCTACTCCCTCCAGCTTCCTTGAGATGATGGAGGCTCGAATTCGTGGCCATGCATCCCCTCTGGCAGCCAACGGACAGAGCCCATCCTCTGGCTCCCAGTCGCCAGTTGTGCCTCCAAGTGCCGTATCCACAGGGAGCTCCAGCCCCAGCACACCCCAACCTGCCCCTCAGCTGCCCCTTAGTATCCCCTCACCCTGTCCCCCAGCACTGCCCACATCCCCTTTGCCCCCCGTGGAGACCCCATCCCACCCTGCACATCCCTCGGCCCCTGCCCCACCCCAGCGGCGCGGCATCATCTCTCGGCTGTTTGGGACCTCGCCAGCTGCAGATGTGACCCCTTCACCTCCAGGTGGGCCTGGGAGCAGCCCTCTCACAAGATGGACCTTTGGCCTGTGCCTTGCCGAATGGGGTGTGGTTACCATAGCCCAGCTCTGGAGGCAGCCTATGGTCTCCAGCCAGGGCTCCTGAGCCACCCACCCTACTCCCCAGTTACAGTCCTACAGGCATTATTCTGGGGTGGTGGGGGCTGGTCCCACACTGAGGGGTCAGGTGCCACATGAGGAGAGCCAGCCTCTGCTGTCCACAGAACCAGCTCCAGCTGCAGAGGCTCCAGCAAGAGTCCAGAACGTTGAGGAGTTTGTTCCTGAAGATGGCCTTGACGGCAGCTTCCTGGAAGACAGCATCCTGCCTAAGGAAGAGAAGAGAGTTGGAGCCAAGGGCCCACAGCAGGATAGCGACAGGTAAGGGATACAGTTGGTGGGCCTGAGCACAGAGCTCAGCCCTTGAGGTCAGCGTGGCACCCTCCCTCACCCCACTCAAGCCTAGTCTTCAGGACATCCCAGGGAGTGTGGACATTGCTTCTCCAGCCCTCACAGAGGCAGCTCCAACAGCAAAAGCAGAAGTGTGACCAGAAGATTGGAGAGAGGGGCTCAGGCATGTCTCAAAGGCCTGCCCAGACCACTGTACCACTAGCCACCCTGGGACAATTGGGGTGGTCAGCCCACCGTGGGTACAGCTGACTAAAGAAGGATGTCAAACTGGTGTTCTGAGACAGCAGGATATTCAGTAGATGGCCTGCCTTGGGCAGGTCCACATGTGGGCACAGATGAGGTTACCTGGGTCCGGTCAGGTTCAGACACAGGAAAGCAGGTCTCCGTGTGGGCCGAGGTAAGCCCTCGAGGAGGGGAGGCCAGACCTTGCTTCCCACCCCTTGGCCCCAAAGCTGGACACTGAGCTGCACCCCTTGCCTGGGTCTGGCCTCCAGCAGCTGGCCTGTCACCACCCTTCTGCCTTCCAAGTACTCCAAAGCTTGTCTTTAGCTAAACCCTGTCACTCCCACTCAGCAAACCACTTCTCAGGTGGCTACTGACATGTAGCTGTTCGCATCTATGGTGTCATCACATCTCATGCATTGAAGGCTTCCCTTCCAGAAATGCACAAATAGGTTAAAGACCAAGGGTGTTTGAGCTGGTCTCTTCTCCCTCTGGTCACCCATTGGCCAACAGCACAGTGCCACCATCCCACCATGTGCTTCTCTTAGCCCCAGCTCTGCTGAGCGGACCTGGGAGCATCCATGAAAGAGGTCTCCCCCCATCCCCAGAACACAGTGCCATAGTCAAGGCAGCCCCATAGCAGTGGGATGGGAAACGGAGCACATAGTCCCCCTCGTGACTGCCACCCACTCCTTTGCAGCGACGGGGAGACCCTGGGAGGGAACCCAATGGTGGCAGGTTTCCAAGATGACGTGGACCTCGAAGACCAGCCACGTGACAAATCCCTGCTACCCTCGGGCCCCATCCCCAGTAAAAACATCAGTCTCTCAAGTGAGGAGGAAGCTGAAGAGGTAGCAGGTCACTCCAGAGTTGCTGCCATAGCTCTCCAGCCATGTTCAGAGACAGAGACAAAACGGTATGGGCAGAGTCCCTGGGATGTAACCAGATGAGGGAAGGGGCAGCCAAGATGGCCACAGAGCTCTTGACCCTTCTCTTTGCCATGAAGGCCCTCCACCAAGGTCTCACAGCCACAAAAGAAGATAACTCCCACACGAGCTGCGGCACCCCCCCAGCCAGGTGGACTCTCTGCTCACTCCAGGCCTGAGCTCAGCAGCACCAAACCCCCCTCCAAGAGCACTTACAGAGCCCAGGAAGGGAAGGACGAGCAGGCATCATCATCAGAGAGTGATCCTGAGGGGCCCATCGCTGCCCAGATGCTGTCCTTTGTCATGGATGACCCTGACTTTGAGAGTGATGAGTCAGACACACAGCGGAGAGTGGTAAGGACAGGCTGCTGACCAGGAAGCCTGACCCTGCTGAGCTCCTGTTAGGAAGGTGAGGCACCTAGGGCAGGGCCTGAGGGGAGCAGTCACAGTCCTGGCTTTCTGTCCTATTGGGACACTGAACAGGGCTGAGGTGCCCCACTGTTCACATACAGGCCCTGCTGGTTGCTCTGACTCTGGGCAGGTTTGGGGTCCCCACAGTCTCTGGGATCATCTTAAGGGTACTCACCACCTTGCTTCAGGGTTCCCATTGGGGTGAAAGAAGGATGGTAGCCCTACTGCTCCTTCTCTAGGATGAGTTCCCCGTGAGAGAAGACCTTTCTGATGTGACTGATGAGGACGCAGGCCCTGCCCAGCCACCCCCACCCCCCAAGCCCCCAGTCCCCTCCTTCAGACTGAAGAATGACTCTGATCTTTTCGGGCTGGGCCTGGAGGAGACAGGACCTAAGGAGAGCAGTGATGAAGGTGGGATTGCACGGGACTTGTCAGCTTCCTTGTAGCCTATCGAGGCTTGGGTGGTCCTTATTCTGTCTTTCAAAAAGCAAGCCTAGCTTCTTTCCTCACTCTGGCTGTTGGGTGTGGGTATCTCTAGAGCAGAGGAGCCTGTGCCATGGCTCCTAACTTTGCCCGGGACCAAGACTAGCCTTTTGGACTCAGGAGAAGTCCAGTCACCCTGCTTGGGGTTCCCTGTGGGCTCAAGAGTTTGAGCCACAGATCCCTAGCTGCCTGTGCTAGCCCAATGAGAGCTCTGTAACGTAGGCAGAGTTGGCACAGTCTGCAGCTGTCGGCATAGACTTTACTGGCTTTCCTGGTGGCTCCTGGTACTGACCAGCTGCAGGGTTCCTATACTGGCCCCAGTTCATTCTCCACTCTGCTTATGGCAACAGACTAGGGCTGGGGCCCAGAAGCAGACTTGGGCCAGCTCTGCCCTAACCAGCAGCTTACCCTTGAAATAACCAGCAGGATCTCAGCCCCAAATGGAGAGGAAGGAGTTTCCTCCTCCCAGGCAGATTGGAGGCACATCAGCATGAGAGCATTTGGGAGCCCTGGGTGCCTGTGTGACCAGGCCACACTGGGGTGGGACTCTGCAAAAGCCTCTGCCAAACCTGTGCAAGGTGGCTGCAGGAAGGCACTGAGACTGTCTTCCCTGTGCAGATAAGGATGGCAAACCACCCTCTAAGGAGAAGAAGAAGAAAAAGAAGAAGGGCAAAGAGGTACTAGCCCCATCCTCCACTGCCTTCCAGGTGGAGCCTGGGCAGTCTGGGGTCCTGGAAGGTGGGATCTGGCCTACTGGTGGCCCCTAGTGACTCTACTGCCCGTTCATCAGCTCCCCTCTTTCTTCACCCCAGGAGGAAGAAAAGGCTGCAAAGAAGAAGAGCAAACATAAGAAGAGCAAGGATAAGGAGGAGGGCAAGGAGGAGCGGAGGAGAAAGAGGAAGACCACTCGAAGCAAGGAGCAGAAGGCAGCTGAGGAGCTGGAGGCCTTCCTGGGGGGTGGAGCTCCAGGCAACCGCCACCCCGGGGGTGGGGACTATGAAGAGCTCTAGGCCTCATCTTGGGGGGAGGGGAGTTGCCTGCCACTTTGTCCCAGCCATTGTCTTCACCCCCGTGTGGCCTGGTCCATTCTGCATTCACTTCCATGCTGGACGAGGCCAGAGGCCAGGCCTTGGTGGTCAGCCCCTGGACCAGGCACTGCAGGTGCTGGACTTCAACCCAGTAGAAACCTGTTTTGCAGGGAGAGGGGGGGACAGCTAGACTGCAGCTGGCTTGGTGGACCAACCTCCTGGCCTTCTCTGGGCAGAGCTGCAAGCAGTCCCCAGCGTTTCTCAGGGATGTGACAGGCCGAGGAGGAACCCAAGAGTGTCTGTTTACAGAGGCAGGGCTGCTTGGCTTCTCAGACGTCCACCACCCAGCCGCAATCCTACTTACCCTCCCAAGCTCTCCCAGGGCCCAGCATGCCCATAAGGCTCTGCTTCCTTGCCTCAGGGCCTGGGTTGTGGATCCCCATTCCCGTAGACCCAGAGCGAAGTGTGGTCCTGCTCTGAGCACAGGTGTGCACTTGCAGGAGAGTGCAGCTGCGCTGCTGCGGGGTAGCCCAAGGCCCTGCACTAAATGAGGCTTGTAAGAGAGTTTCAGCATGCACCACCTCTCCTGGGAGAGGGACGGTAACAGCCAGCTTCTGTGCATGGTGAGCACCTGCGCAGGTGAGCCAGGCTGGCGCTGGGAAGCGCCTTCTCAGACACTCCACCCAGACTATAAAGCTCTCGGGTTTTACTGTTGTGTGTGTCTGTTCTTCTCGCTGTCTCTGGCTCCTGGAGGTGCATGGGACGGGATCAGACCGCTGCCTCTTTGACCTAAGTGTCCTATATCAGACCAAAGAGTCATCTTCCCCAGAAGCCAGTACTCTGCGAGGCAGGCAGTACTGGCCGTAAACATGCCCTGTTCTAACCAGCTTAGCCAGCTGCACTGAGACTAGTCGAGGGCCCCAGCCCTGGGAAGGCAGATGTGTCCTGCTTTGTGCAGTCTCCCTGCCTCCTGGACAGCTGCCTGCAGCTGGGTAGCTCCCTTCAATCCCCGTTCCCGCCCGCAGCCAGCAGCCTTGGGCGCCCCGCCCACCGCAAACACGTTGCCATGAGAACCCTCCAGGGGCTGCTGGGAGGGCCCGCACTTTGCAGGCGGGGTTCCCCGCTGCACCGCCTCCCCCAGCGACGGCCAAGACCTGGCTCACTCCTCCCAAGCCCAGAAAGCCTCTCCTCAGTTTGGAACGTTGTGACCTGGAAAAGCGGGAACAGTTGCACGCTGGACTAATTCTGTACGTAGCTTATGGGGACGGGTCCACAATAAAGTTGCCAGGATTGCAGTTAGCAACGCTGGGGTATCGACGGCTCCATCAGCCAAAAGAACACAGGGCAGGTGGGTCCTGCCCTTCAGAGCTGAGGGCATCCATGACCTGCCTCTGCACCAACGTAGACTGTTAGAAGGTTCAGCCCCTTGGCCAGGAAGCTGGTAGGGCCGGAGTGAAGATACAGCCATGCAGCTTATGAGTGGGCCACCTGCAAACCTTTCCCAGTGGAAAGTGGGCAAAGATAGCCCACGCTGGCCTGGACACACAAGGCTGCGGGCCTTCTGGCCTCAGGTACCTGCCGAGATTTTGGCAAAGAGGACAAGTGCCTGGGGAAAGGCCAGTGGCAGGAGGGTAGCCCATCTGCTCCTGCCTGGAGCCAACCACAGGCGTGCTCTTCCCCCTCATAACACACCCCAACCTCCACAGCCAGGTCGGGGTTTGGGGCTCCTCCAGGACCCTGCGAGGATTCTAGCTGCTCAGGCAGGTGTCCTGGGGGTAGGGCAGGCTGGTGGGACCGGCAAGCTTCTCTCTCGATATGGGTTCCCTGGTCAGACTTCGAGGCCTGTGTTTTGGGGATGCTGAGGAGACTCTCACTCTAAACTCGGCACAGCCCCAAATCAGAGCCAGCACGCACCAGTCGGGTCCTGGGGTCCACTGCACAGCCCCCACCCGGCGCGGCCCCTTTAAGTGCCGCCCCCTTGGCCGCCATTGGGGGCAGCACTGAGCTCATGCCAGGATCCGCGCTGCTGCCTCGAAGCTTCTGCCGGTACCGGGGACTGAGCGGTGCCGGGGACACAGCGGAGCCGGCGTGGGGCTGTGCAGCCCACCTGGGTTTTACTGACGGAGCAACGCCCAGGTAAGAGGCCGGGCCCAACTGCCTAGCGTGGAGTGCGGTTGTCACCGGTGAGGACTGCCCAAAAGGATGGGGAGTCCCCGCCCCCACTCAATGCAGGCCGGGTCCCTGCCATGGCCGCGCCGGGACAGGGCAGGGCTGCGAGATGGAGAGGATGCCCCACCATCCACGTGGGCTCAGAAAGATGTAGGGTCCCAGAACAGCCCGACCCCACCTCCACCCCCACAGGGAGCAGTGTCACAGCGTCCAGCACCTGACATCCGCAGCCAGCCAAGCCGGCTGTCACCTCCCTGGGGCGGAGCCTCACACCCTGTCATCTAGCCTAGGCTCCATCCTGGCTTTGGGTTTAGGATGAAAGAGGGTTCGACTGGGGTGGGCATGGGGCTGGGGTGGGGACAAGTCCTCAAACCTAGTGGCCCTGACCGCAAAAAGCAGCCCTGCCACCAAGAACACCTAGAAAAGGGATTGACCCTGAAAGGCCCCATCCACTCGTAGTCCCGCTAGGTGAGGGGCACAGCCAGTACCTTGCACTCCCCCAGCTTATCCTGAAGCAGATGTCCCCAGAGTGGGTGCTGGGTAGGAGAAGGGGGGCTGTCACCACCTTCTGAACCCCTCCCCAGCCAGCCCCAGGCCCTGGGGACTGCAGAAGCATTGGTGGCCCACATCTGAATGTGAGCCTGGATCCAGCCCAGCCCACAGCTCGGGGGCTGAAGAACCACACGTTTCCATGGAGCTGTCCGGATACAGAGCAGGGAGGCATGGGGGGGGGGCTTTCCCAGCCGTCACTAAGCCTCCCCCTAGCTAACATCAGTTCACAGCTTAGAGGAAGGGGCGCCATGAGCTAGTAGTTCATACGTCCCCCACATGGTCCTGTCACCTGAGCCTGGCTTCAGGAATACTAAAGGTACACACACACACACACACACACACTCACGGCAGGGGCGGGGGGGGGAGGGAGAGAGTTCCTGTGCAGTTATGCAAAGCTGGTGGGGTTGCTCTGTACCCTTGTCTGCCCCAACAAGTTTGGTGGGTTTCAACCACCACAAGGTAGTTGGGGTCAGCGGTTTCTGCAAAAGGAAGGAGGCTTTAGGGGCATTTTTCTGGCTAGGGCCACTCCAAAGTTGAGGGGACTCATGTTTGGGCACAGCTGACTGTCACAAATGCAAGGGCATTTGCAGCCTGGGGGAAGGGTTTTGTGCTCAGTCTGGTCAGCAGGCAGGGTAGGAGTGTTTGTGACTTTGTACAGAGTGGCTGAGGCTAGGGCCCAGGCCTCACCTCTGCCTTTGCACTATCAGAAGGGTCGCTCTGCACTGGGGCTAGGAGGGGACTGCAGTCACCAGTAGGGGAATCTAAACACTGCCAAAAAGAGCCCATCATTCCAACTGTGAGCACTAGAGGGCAGTAGTCCTAGGACCACATTCCCACACTCTTACCCATTGTCAGGAAAAGGGGTCTAACCAAGACTGTCCATCAGTCACTTCTGTGGGGAAGGGAGACCTAAGGAGCTTCAGCACAGGAGTCACACCGCCGGGCAGGAAGGCGGGGACCACAGCAAACTAAGCCCTTTGGCCCACCTGCTCCACCGGCTGGCTGGACAGCGGGGTTCCTCCTGTAGGGTTCCTCCTGCAGGTACTTCTGACTTTGGCATGGAGCCAGTGCCCACAGCCTCGGCCAAGGCCTGCGGCCAGTGCTGCTCTACTCCCTGCGCCCCAGGTAAGCCGGGCCAGGGCGCGGGATTGGGAGGTAAGGAGCCTGGGCCGCAGAGGGGGCTGCCCTGACCTGCACCGCCGTCCCCTCCCCCAGGGCAAAAGTCCCTAAAGGCCAAGTGATTGGAACCACCAGCCTGGGGACGTCTTTTAAGATGACCCGCACGGACCCGCCGGACCTGCTGGTGTCGACCGTGTACCAAGACATCAAGGTGGCGGCCCCGGGGCCCGCGTCCAGGCGCCAACCATGTGAGCGATCCGTGGCCCGGCCTGCTGCACCCGCACCTTTCAACAAGCGCCACTGCCGCAGTTTCGACTTCCTGGAGGCGCTGGACGGGCCCGCAGCCATGGAGGTCCACCCAGAGCCGCCACCCCCGGAGTCTGCCCCGCCCCGTTCCCGGCCCCGAGATGGCGAGCCCCGACGTCGCGCCCGCTCCAAGAGTGCGCCACGTGCACCCCACGGCCTGGCGCCCGCGCCAGCCTCGCCGCCAGTGCTGCCACGCCGAGGCCGAGAGAGCCAGCGTGCGGCGCGAGCAGAGGGGTCGCCTCGCCGGGAGCCCTCGTATCCCGCGCTGCGCGCGCTCGCCAACGAGCTGCACCCCATCAAACTGCAGCCACAACGGGGCGGCCCGGGCCGCATCGCGCCCCTGTGCGCCGCTCCAGGCCGCTGCGCACCGCCGGAGCCACCCACAGGGCCCGCCCCCCATGTCCGCTGCCGCCTGGACATCAAGCCTGATGACGCAGTACTGCAGCACGCAGCCCGGGCCTCGCGGCCCTGCGCGCCCGCCGACGCCGCTCCCTGGGCCCGCGCCGCCACGCAGTTCCACGGCCTCACGGTTCCCGGGCCCCGCCACGTAGCCCTGTCACGCACTCCCACGCCCAGTGACTTGTACTGTGCTGATCCCCGGGCGCTGTATTGCGACGGACTCCTGCCTGGGCCCCGGGACTACGGGGAGCACCGCAGTCAGCCCTTCACAACGCCTCCAGGCCCCACTCAATTCTTCTACACGGAGGAGCCCGAGGGCTACACGGGCGGCTTTACAGCCAGCCCGGGCCCTCCCTTCGATGGCTACTGCTCCAGGCCCTACCTCTCTGAGGAGCCCTCTGGACCCAGTCCAAGGCGTGGGGGCGGCTACTATGCAGAAGAAGTGCGCACCTTCCCGATCCAGGAGCCGCCCTCCCGCTCCTACTACGGGGAACCTCCTCGGGCCTATGGCCTGCCCTTTGGCCCCCGCTATGTCCCCGAAGAGCCCCGTGGCCACCCCGGTGCCCGCTCCTTCTACACAGAGGACTTCGGGCGGTACCGTGAGCGCGACGCAATGGCTCGAACTTACCCATACCCGCGCAGCAGCCCGGCCTGGGCGGACTGGGGACCGCGGCCTTATCGTACCCTGCAGGTGGCGCCTCCCGCCCCTGGCCCGTTGCTGGCCTCGTGGCATGGCGGCACCGGCACCAGCCCTCCGCGGCTGGCCACCGACAGCCGCCACTACTCTAGATCATGGGACAACATCCTGGCGCCGGGGCCGCGCCGGGAGGACCCCCTGGGCCGCGGCCGCAGCTACGAGAACCTACTGGGGAGAGAGGCGCGGGAGACACGGGGCGCATCCCCCGAAGGCCGGCGCCCTCCCGTCGTAGTGAACCTGTCCACCTCGCCCAGGCGCTACGCGGCGTTGTCGCTCTCCGAGACGTCTCTGTCGGAGAAGGGCCGTGCGGGGGAGGGTCTGGGCCGCAACTGGTACGTCACGCCCGAGATCACCATCACCGACAACGACCTGCGTGCCGCCGAGCGCCCTGCGGCCAAAGGCTGGGAACTGCCAGGGAGCCGGTCGCGGCCGCCCGCACCCGCGGCCCCCGAGGGCCCCGCCTCCAGCCGCCAGCGCAGCCTCGAACAGCTGGACGAGCTCATCACCGACTTGGTCATCGACTCGCGACCTCCGGCCGGCCAGGGCCCGGAGCCTACGGCAGAGGGTCTGAGCCGCCAGCTGCGCCGCCTGCTGGACTCGCGGCCCGCGGGCCCTGGGGCTCCCGCACCCGTGCGGCCGCGCTCGCCCCCGGCCTCGGCCGGCAGCGCTGAGGAGCCCGCGGGCCCAGGGGAGGCGGCCGACGCGTCTCCGGAGCCCAGCGCCGATGAGGACGACCTGATGACCTGCTCCAATGCGCGCTGCCGGCGCACGGAGACCATGTTCAACGCCTGCCTCTATTTCAAGTCTTGCCACAGCTGCTACACCTACTACTGCTCGCGCCTGTGCCGCCGCGAGGACTGGGACGCACACAAGGCGCGCTGCGTGTACGGCCGCGTGGGCAGCGTGTGCCGCCATGTGCTGCAGTTCTGCCGCGACAGCGGCCCGGTGCACCGCGCCTTCTCGCGCATCGCGCGCGTGGGCTTCCTGTCGCGTGGCCGTGGCGTGCTATTCCTGGGCTTCCCGAGCCCAGGGTCGGCTGACAATTTCCTACGCTTCGGCCTGGAGGGGCTGCTGCTGTCACCCACCTACCTGTCGCTGCGCGAGCTGGCTACGCACGCGGAGCCCCTGGGCAGCTATGCGCGAGAGCTGGCAGCCGCTGGGCGGCTCTACGAACCGGCCGAGTGCTTCCTGCTCAGCGTGTCAGTCGCCGTGGGCCCTGGCGCCGCGCCCCCCGGGACCCCCGCCCGGCCGGTGCCCGCACCGCGTAGCCCCGGGCCGACGGTGCGCAAGTTCGCCAAGGTGGCCCTGGCGGCCGGCAGCCCAGCGCGACCGCCTCCTACGCGGGGCCGCGAGCCCGACATGGAGACGCTGATCCTGACGCCGCCGCCGGGTACGGCGGGCCTGGACCAGGAGGGCGAAGCGGGCCGGCGCGCGCGCGAGGTGGCCTTCATCCATATTCAGCGCGAGCTGCGCTTGCGCGGCGTCTTCCTCCGCCATGAGTTTCCGCGTGTCTACGAGCAGCTCTGCGAGTTCGTCGAAGCCAACCGGCGCTTCACGCCCACCACCATCTATCCCACCGACCGGCGCACTGGGCGCCCTTTCATGTGCATGATCATGGCTGCTTCCGAGCCGCGTGCGCTCGACTGGGTGGCTAGCGCCAACCTGCTGGACGACATCATGTGAGCCGCGGGGCCACCAGGACCAGGCTGAAGCTCTGCCTAGCCAACTCAGGCCCGGCCGGGTCCCCCCAGAACCGCCCCTGAGCCCCGCCCAGCCTACTGGGGCCCCCTACAACTCCCAGCCCACACCCCAGTTCCGCCCCTCAGTGCTCTCTCCATCGGCCTCATCCTCTTCCCCGCCCCCACGACCCTCCTGCTGGGCCATCCGACTCCCACCTTCTGGATTCTCCCTTCTCTCCCCCGCCTTGGCCCCCAGTCAGTCCTTGGGCCCCCACCCACCCACCCAGAGGCCGGTCCTCGCCCTCGGTGCTCCCCGCTGAGAGGCGGGATGGGCCTGAGGACCGCCGGCTCTGCCTTCACACAGAGGGTCACTAACTGCACAGACCCAACCGCGCAAACCAGGTCCCAGCCCGTCGTGAGGCTCTCTGGAGATTCCCCAATCCTGGTTCCCTTAATCCCCCTAGTCCAGGAGTCTGTGTTGACCAAAGCCTAGTGTCGTCACTTTAAGCACGCCCCCCAATCCGCCTCCTGTGTCTGGGGGTGTGTCACGATCAGAGGCCTTTCACCTTGGAGATCACCCTTGTTAGCTTCTGTGCACCCGCGTCCTTGCGAGGCCTTGGGCAGGAGCAGCAGTGCGTTTTCTACCGTCTGAGCCTGGGCCAGAGGAGGTGGAGCCGGACTCCTAGCCCGCTCACTGACAGTGCTACCTGCCCTCACCTCCGGCAGCCTTGATCTGGGCCCTGCAGGACACAGAGGTCTTCAGGCCAAGGCACAAGCCACCCAGCCCAGAGGGCACCAGTGCAGGGGAAGCAGAAGGGTGGCTGGGGACGCAGAGTTGAAATCTGGCTGGGTAAAAGAGTGCCCGCCCACACCCAACAAGATGGCCCTAGGCGGGTGCGCGGGCAAAGCATGGGAGGATGAACGGCAGGCCCTAATGGCGCGTGGAGGCAGTCAGTGAGTGCAGAGGGTGGACCAGCGGGGAGACCCCCACGGGAAGCTGCACCTATCCCCTGCAGTAGGCAGAACCAAGGAGCAGCGAGTGTCTCTACGTGGGGCCTGAGCGGAGAAAGGTGGGAGCAAGTGTGGAATAAGCTAGCTGGTCAGGGCCAGCTAGCAGGAGTGGCAGGACTGCCCCAGAGTTAGATCCTTTACATACAAAGCTGGGTACTCGCCCTGGCTGCGTCCCGAGCTGCGGGACAGGCACCTCTCCCTTCCCCCACCGCACGCTCCGGCAGCCCTCGGCCCTGTGTCCCACCCCCAGCACCCGCGTGTACAGGGCTCCGCGCACGGGGCCCAATATAGGGCGGTGTGACCGGGAAGGGCGGGGGGGGAGGGTAGACCAGGCGCTGCTCTAGGGCGCTCCAGGAGCCCCCGGCCCCTTGGGAGCCCAGTTAGGGGGTACCAAATGTAACAAGCTGGGAGCCCCACCTTCGCCCCTGCTCTCTCCCTGCCGACACGCCAGGGCGCCCGAGTCGGCCCGCGAGTTTGACCCTGCCGCAGCGCCCCGCTTGCCGCACTTGCCGCCGCGCCCCCTGTCCCCCCGCCCCAGGGCCTCCGCATTCGGCCCCGAGGCAGGCCGGCAGGAACGTCCCTGGACCGGAGTCATTTCCAGAGGACGAGTGCTTTCGAACCAAGTAAAATAGAACTTGAATGTAGCCGCTGTTGCCTTTTTGGGGGGGATCGCGGAGGGAGGTCCTCGGACAGGGACAGGGGCCGCGAGCGTCCCAGTGCCCTCCCCTGCTCCCCAGTGCCAGCTTCACAGGCGGCCTGACGGCTCCCTTCCAGCGGTGCCTGATCCAGACGTTAGAGCAGAACCTTGCGGTCGGCTGCATTTAATCACCACCGATTACCTATGCCGCGTTCCCTTTAAGTGAGAAGACTTGGGCCTAAGGCTGAAGAAATTGGACTGTGATTGGCTAGTCCGTGCCTCAGGTCAGAGGCACAATTGGCTGAGACTCTGTACAATCAACTAAGGCTGTACAACTGGCTAAGGCGGTACAATTGGCCTCGGGCAGCATCCCCCCACGCGATTGGTCGAGGCTCTCACAGAGCCCGCCTCCCGCACGGGACAGAGCCCCTGATCGGGTTGGGTAAGGGGCGGTAGGACCCAGAGACCCGGCGCTCCCGGGAACATGGCTGAGGTGGACCTCGCTCAGATTCCTGATGTGGACATCGACTCGGAGGGCGTCTTCAAGTACGTGCTGATTCGAGTCCACGCGAGGCCGCCCTCCGGGGCTGAGGCCGGGGAATGCAAGGAGATCGTGCGCGGCTACAAGTGGGCCGAGTACCACGGTGAGGGCGCGGCCGGGGGCGGGACTTCCTGAGGCCGGGGGCGGGGTCGTTGGCCTGTGCTGGGCGGAGCGGGGCCGGCCGATGCTGGGGGGCGGGGCCGGCCGATGCTGGGGGCGGGGCCGGCCGATGCTGGGGGCGGGGCCGGCCGATGCTGGGGGGCGGGGCTGAGGGCTGCCACTGGACTGCAGGTGCTAGTTTGCGTTGTTTCGTACCAAGCACCCAGCCAGGCTGGATCCTGGGCAGGAAAGGGGTGCCGTGCTCTGACCCTCCCCTTGTAGTCCCCTCTCCTCCTCTTCATCCCTGCGCCAGCCGGGAGGGGCTTCCTCTCCCCTGGGGCATGGGCTGCTCAGATCTGAGGTTTCACAACCCTGCATGCGGCCCTGGAGTTCATTAGGAGACTTCCCAGGCGACCAGGACTCGTCTGAGGCCACTCTGTCTACCCCAGCTGATATCTATGATAAAGTGTCTGGCGAACTGCAGAAGAAGGGTTATGACTGTGAGTGCCTGGGCGGCGGGCGCATCTCCCACCAGAGCCAGGACAGAAAGATCCACGTTTACGGCTACTCCATGGTGAGCCCCAGGCTCCAGTCCTGGCTGCAGAGCTGGCCCCTCTACCTCTCAGGCCGCTCTCTCAGCTGCAGAACCCTCGCTCAAAGGCCTTGAATTCCCCACATTTCCCATGTTGCATTAGGGTGGGTGGGAGGCCAGCTGCCTTGGGGTATACCATCTCCTGGCTCCAGAGGCCTGGTGGGTCTCATCTCCCACCTCTTTGGCCCCAGGCCCTTGGAGCAGTCAGTACTAGAGTTGAACTCAGGGCCCTGACACAAAGACCACCTGGTTCTTCGAGGCTCACCTGTGGAGCCTGTGGGTTACCCTCCTGTCCCCAGGGTGGTCAGAATGGTAGGTTTGACCCCCTTCCCATGCCTGCTCTTGGTGTGGCTGCTGGGTGGACTCACAGTGCAGAGGGCCAAGCCAACTAGTGACTGTCCACTCTCCAGGGCTACGGTCGTGCCCAGCACTCCATCTCGACTGAGAAGATCAAAGCTAAGTATCCTGACTATGAGGTCACCTGGGCTGACGATGGCTACTGAGACACTGTCAACAGCCAATTGAGAACTCTGCTCTTGCTGGGGTGCCTCTTGAGAGGCCAGTCCCATCCCTTCCTTCTGTACCTTCTGACAATGCACCACCCCATGAGGCCTCAGACCAGTCTGGCCCACAGGGATTAAAAGCATTGAAGTTCCAGTCCCTGACTGTTTCTTGGCTTCCCTCTCCTGGGTCACCACTTAGGACACCCCTCCACTACGCCTCAGGAGGCCCGGGGATTGGCGGTGCACACTCAGCCCTTTAGGATAAGGGGCCCCTGGCATGTCACCGTTTATGGCCTGATTGCTCCTCCATGCAATTGCTATCCCCAAGGACATCTGGGAGGGGATCCCACAAGACCTTGTGCAAGGAGTTAGCACATGGCCCCTCCTGGCCAGCCAAGTCCTGGAGTGCCCACAAGTGCCTCCCTTCCTGAAGCTCAACCTAGGGAAGGGTCCCAGTGACCATTGTCCTGGCCAGTTGACAATGGCTGTTGCTGTCAATCTGTCCCCAGGCCTAACCTGGAGACCCCTAGTGTTTGTTCCTGTGTGGTCTGCCAGCCAAGGACATGCATGGCTTCCAGGATTGGGTATTCATCAACTACTACTGAGTCCTGTTCATTCTGAGCTTCTGACTTTTGAATGTGTCTCTCCTTAAGCCCTCCTGTACCCTCTGCCTCAGCCCCAGCCCTGCCTCTTTATGCAGAGGAGTAGCTGAAGGCAAGCTCAGCCCCTAGTCTGGGAGCCTCATGCACAGCAGGCCCAGTGTTAGTGATGAAGGGTGCTGGGGAAAAGCAGGGACTAGCACTAGTGCCTTCACACCACCCCCATGCACTTGAGCCAGCCTTCATCAGCTCATCATGCCCTAAACTGCCTCTCCAAGAAGGCACTGCTGAGACACCTTTACAGGTCAAGATACAGGCTCAGGTTCCACAAGCCCCAGTGTCACACTGGTAAGTCACAGGCAGTTCTGATGTTCGCCTGACTCAGCTGTAGATCTTTTCCTCAAGAACCAGAGATTCCGTCTCACACCAGTGGTTCACACCTGTAATCCCAGCTACAGAGATCAGGAGGATCATGGTTCAAAGCCAGCCAGAGCAAAAGTTCAAGAGACCCTATCTTCAAAAACAAAAAAGGGCTGGTGGAGGCCCTGAGTTCAAGCCTCAGTACTGCAAAAGAAACAAAAACAAGTTTCTGGGCTCATCGGGGCTTGTGCCTTTCCCCCAAAACAGCGCAGGGCGGCTCAGATAACACATGCTGGACTGTTATATGCCGCTGCTGAGGTGCTTCAGCCTCCATGGCCTGCCTCAGGTTGGGGCTGAAGACCCCATGAGAAGTTACAGTGGCTTCTGCTACCCCCACACTGCTGCACAGAGCCCTCTGCATTCCAGGAGGAGCCTCCACTGGGTAGGGCAGGATTGGGTGGGTGCTTCGCATGGCTGAGGCCTGACCTTTGCTCAAAAGGAGCTGGGCAGGTGGGAGCGGATCCTGAACCAGGGGCCTCCTCCTGGGGACACTTTTACAACTGGATGCTTAGCCTATCATCAATGGGTGGGGCCCAGCCAAGAGGCTGCAAGCACAAAGGGACTGAGCCCACTCCAGTTACAGCCAGATCAGCCTGTGGGGCCAGCTTGGACTGATAACTGGACAAAGTCCCCACCAGACTGTACAGCCTTGCTGCCACTGGGCCTTGCTCCTTCCAACCTGGCCATGCATCTGTCCAGCTACCTCCTGCCTGCCCTGGTCCTGCTTTTGGGTGAGTCAGCTGGTCTCACCAAATCTGCTCCAGGTGCAGGTGTGGGGGGAGATGCAGGAGCCCCATAGGAGGGTGGCCTGTGAGAGGGACAGCCAGGACAAGCCCACAGGGCCAAGGATTATCTTACTAAGGCTTCCTTCTCTGCCCTAGAGGAGGGGCTCGGGGCAGATCACAGGTGGGCATCTGCCCAGCTCTCTGAGTCTTCACCTGCCACCCTCAGATGGGAAGGTTGGGGGAGCTTGGGCTACCCAACAGTCTGTCCTCTTGAGGGGCACCCTCCTGTAAGACCCCCCTCCAGTTCCTAGAGGGTGTTCTTAAGGGCCCTGTTCCCCATGCCCACACCCTTCTCCCACCCCAACATACAGCCAGCTGGGAAAGTAGAGCCCCTATGGCAGTTCTCCTTGGGCCCCAAGCTCTTCCCTGCCAAATCTCCTAGGTCTGAGCCCTGATGACCAGTGTCCTGCAACACTCAGGTCTGAGGGGCTTCCCTGGACTGGAACTTCCAGTGCTAATACCAGACAATCCTGGTAAAGTGGAATGGCCAGTTCCCCTACCCCAGCCCACTTGACTGTCCCTCTACCAGCAGCATGGTCCCCAGGCCAGGCCTGGGTCCCCAACCACTGCAGGAGCCCCAGCGAGATCACGTGTAATTTCGTGTGTGACTGCCAAGACTGCTCAGACGAGACCCAGTGTGGTGAGCAGGGCCCAGTGGGAGTGGGCAGGGCAGGTCCTGGGACAGATGCTTGACCACCCACTCTCTTAGGTTACCATGGAGCCTCACCCACCCTGGGCACTCCCTTCACCTGTGACTTTGAGCAGGACTCCTGTGGCTGGCGGGACATCAGCACCTCAGGCTACAGCTGGCTCAGGGACCGGGCAGGAGCTGTGCTGGAGGGTCCTGGGCCTCATTCTGACCACACTCATGGCACTGACCTGGGTGAGGCCTGGGAGAGGCTCCACACACCCCCCCCAGCCATTCCTCTTGGTTTCCTGCCTGGTCATCTGACCTCTTGCCTGGACTAGGCTGGTACATGGCTGTGGGAACTCACCGTGGGAAAGAGGCGTCCACCGCAACCTTGCGCTCCCCTGTCCTGCGTGAGGCTGCCCCCACTTGTGAGCTGAGACTCTGGTACCTCACAGCCTCTAGAGGTGCATCCCCAGAACCCCCGAGACCCAGGGCAGGGTGGTACTGGGGAGGGGCTGGGAAAGAAAAGGGTAACTAGAGAAAGGAGGGCGGCCCAAAAGACGGTCAGGGCACAGCTACAGGGCTGGAGGACATACTAGGAGGACCAAAAATGCTGCAGATGTGGCTGAGCTGCGACTAGAGGTGACCCATGCTGCAGAGACACTGACTCTGTGGCAGAGCTCGGGACCCTGGGGTCCTGGCTGGCAGGAGTTGGCAGTGATCACTGGCCGTATCCAAGGCAACTTCCAAGTAAGCTGGGGTGGTCTGGCTGGCGAGAGCAGTGGGGAGGGGCTGGGTCCTGACTGAGGTCCTAAGAACCCTTACTGTCTTCAGGTGACCTTCTCTGCCACCCGAAATGCCACTCACAGGGGCACTGTGGCCTTGGATGATGTGGAATTCTGGGACTGTGGGCTACCCAGTAAGGCCTCATGTCATCCTGTTCCAACTCGGGGTGGGGGGCCTAAGGGTTAGCAGAGGACCCTCAATGCTCACTCCCCTATTCAGACTGTTCCTTCCCCCACTTCTGCCGCAGGTCCCCAGGCCAGCTGCCTCTGGGGACACCAGCACTGCCAAAACCAGGCCTGTGTGGAGCCCCATCAGCTGTGCGATGGCGAGGACAACTGTGGGGACAGATCTGATGAGGACCCACTCACCTGCAGTGAGGCTGGGGCCACCCAGGGCCAGGCGGGGCTGTAGAATGAGACAGGGAGGCTGGACCCTGACCGTAGGGCCTTCAAAGAAAGCTGGGGGCCTGTTTGGGAAGGTGTATCTTGGCGTGGTCATTCTGGAGGTGGAGTAGCTGGTGTCTGCCCTGGAGCTGGGGCCGTATGGCTTCAGAAAGCCCAGCTTGGTGGCCCTGATAGTCACACTTCCACCTTAGGGCAGTACATGGCCACAGACTTCGAGACAGGTCTGGGCTTGTGGAACCATTCGGAAGGCTGGGCCTGGAACCACAGTGCTGGTGGTCCAATGGATTCTGCCTGGCCACGCCGAGACCACAGCCAGAACAGTGCACACGGTGAGATCCACAGGGGACCCCAGCCATTGCCCTGTCCATCTGGCCTTCTCTCAGAGTCCCTGGCCCATACTTGCTCTCTTCTCCAGGTTCTTTCCTAGTCTCTGTGGCCAAGCCTGGAACCCCTGCTGTCCTCTTCAGTCCAGAGTTCCAAGCCTCAAGCCCCTATAACTGCTCGGTGAGATGGCTGAGGGATGTAGGGTCGCTCCTCCTGGTGCACAGGAGCCAGAGGGCCCACTGACCAACTCGATGCCACTTCCAGCTCATCTTCTATTACTACCTGCATGGGTCCAAGGCCGGCTACCTCCAGCTTCTCCTGCAGATGAGTGGGCCCAGTGCCCCCCAGACCCCTGTCCTGCTGAGGAGACGCCAAGGGGAATTGGGGGATGCCTGGGTCAGAGACCGGGTCGACATCCAGAGTACCCACCCCTTCCGGGTGAGGCTAACCAGACAGGGATGGGGGACACGGGTAGGGTCAAGAGCAGGGGACGGGAGCCGGGTGCTTTGCCAATGGCCATCCTGAGACACTCTGGGAGGTCAGAAGTATTGTCCAGAGATTGACAAAGTATAGGCAGTGGGTGGACATGGAAAGGGTGCTACAGAGCAGATGCCAGGGAGAACAGAGGGGTGTTGGGACACCCCCTGAGCGCCCCCTCCCTACTGTCAGATCCTCCTGGCTGGGGAGACAGGCCCAGGAGGCGTCGTGGGCCTAGATGACCTCATCCTATTCAACCACTGCAAAACGGTTCCAGGTGAACTGCCTCAAGCCCCCTCTCTTATCTTCCCCAGGGAAAGCACAACATCCACCCCATCCCTCACTTGACCTCAGTTCTGCCCCACAGGAGTGTCCGCCCTGTGGTTACCACCTCCTAAGCCCTGGGCCCTGGCCCCATGGCCTCAGCCAACCAGCCTGCAGTCCCAGGATGCCTGCAAACCAGAGCATCTCTCCTGTGGGGACCTGTGTGTACCCCCGGAACAGCTGTGTGACTTCCAGCAGCAATGTGCAGAGGGCGAGGACGAACAGCAGTGTGGTGAGAGCAGTCAGCTCCCATCCTGACCATTTTGCCTGAGACCCTCCCCATGTGTGAGCCCAGGGTGAGTAGGGTGCTCTTGACGGCTGGGTCCCCACCCTTCAGCAGGTACTGCTGTTGCAGGTACCACTGACTTCGAGTCTGCCTCAACTGGGGGCTGGGAGGACACCAGTGTGGGACGGCTGCAGTGGCAGCGGCTCCAGGCCCAGGAGAGCAGGGGGCCTGCACGGGATGCCAGCGGGGCTGCTGCTGGTGAGGCCCACACAACCCCACAGGGACCCTTCACCAGAGAGGGTCTCAGAATGGGGGGGGTCCCTGGGCAGCAGAGGGGTACCCTGGAAGGAACTGAACTGAGCACATTGCTTTTCCCCCAGGGCATTTCCTATCTCTGCAGATGGCCTGGGGGCAGCTGAGGTCTGAGGCCCGGGCCCTTACACCCACCCTGGGCCCCTCTGGCCCCAACTGTGAACTCCACATGGCTTACTATTTCCATGGTCACCCCCGAGGTACCGTCTACTCCCAAGCCCTCTGCCTAGTTCCATGGTGCCCCTACATAGAAGGAGGGGGTTTAAGGATGACCCACTCATGGTGATGCCCTTGGCCAGGCTTCCTGGGACTGGTTGTGGTAGAAAGAGGCTCCCGGGAGCTGGTGTGGCAGGCCCCTAGCAGCAGCACTGGGAGCTGGATGGTGGACAAGGTCCTTCTTGGAGCGCGCCACCGGCCCTTCCAGGTGAGGAAGGCAGCCCCGGGTGGGGATCCGTACCAAGCCAGCCTTAACTTAACAGTTCTCTCACTCCATCTACCTGAAAGCTGGAGTTTGTTGGTCTGGTGGACTTGAACGGTCCTGGTCAGCAGGAAGCTGGGGTGGACAATGTGACCATGAGGGACTGCAACCCCACAGTGACCACTGAGAAAGACCAAGGTCCCTCCTGCCCACCTCCCATTCCCACCCTGGGGCTCCCACCCAGTCCACCTCCAGGGATGTCTGGGAGCCTCTACCATCTGAGCTCAGGAGGGGAGATGGAGGGCAGTGGGGTGCTGACCCTACCCTGCCCCCCCAGAGGTCACCTGTAACTTTGAGCGGGATGAATGTGGCTGGCACACGGGCCACCTCACAGATGCCCACTGGCACCGGATAAAGAGCCATGGCCCTGGATATGATCACACCACTGGTCAAGGTAGGGGGAGTGCCAGACCCTGGGATCCCTCAGACACAGGGTGTTCCCAAAACCAGAAGGCTCTCTCACATCAGAGGGAGGCTTCCAGACCTGGGGGACTTCAGATATGAGAGGGGCATCTCTGCAGCTCAGCCTTGTGCCCCCCTGCAGGCTTTTTCATGCTTCTGGACCCCACAGACCCCCCTGCCCGAGGCCAAGGAGCCCACTTGCTCACGGGGCCCCAGGTGCCAGCAGTTCCTAAGGAGTGCCTCAGCTTCTGGTACCACATGTATGGGCCCCAGATCGGTGAGCGTCTCAGAGCTGGCAGGGCCTCTGTGTATGCCCGGGAGGTTCAAGATGTGTCTGGGGCCAGTGGAGCCCTGGGAGATGAGCCGTTGCGGGGCTAGTCCCTTCGAGCCCCACCTCCCTCTCCCTGCAGGGACACTGCGCCTTGCCATGAGGAGGCACGGGGAGGAAGACACGCAGCTATGGTCCCGGTCGGGCACCCATGGCAACCGCTGGCACCAGGCTTGGGTCACCCTCCACCACCAGCAAGAGCCTGGAACCGAGTACCAGGTGAGCTTGGCTCTGGGCGGAGAGATGTGGGACAGGCCCAGCCAGCTAACACCTTCTGTCCCCAGCTGCTGTTCGAGGGTCTCCGGGATGGGTACCATGGTACCATGGCTCTAGATGATGTGGCTGTGCGGCCTGGCCCCTGCTGGGCCCCGAGGAGCTGCTCCTTTGAGGACTCAACCTGTGACTTCTCCACTGGAGGCTGGGGCCTATGGATACGCCAGGCAAATGCCTCGGGCCATGTTCCCTGGGGCCCCCAGAAAGACCACACCACAGAAACCACACAAGGTACTGGGGCCTGGCCGAGAGCAGAGGGCAGAGGGCTGGCCACAGGCAGCCGATTGATGCTGGTCTTCCCAGGGTACTACATGGTGGTAGACACCAGTCCAAATGCGCTGCCCCAGGGCCATGTGGCCTCTCTGACCTCAGAGGAGCACCCACCCCTGGCCCAGCCTGCCTGCCTGAACTTCTGGTACCACCTGAGCCTGCACAACCCAGGTGAGGGGCTGTTGTTGGAGGGGACCCTAGGAGGTTCAGCCTGGGGTCCCCAGAGGCCCTGTGTGGGACTAGGAAGCCAAGCAGCACCCTCCCCCATGGCTGCTGACCCGAGCTGGCCCTTGGCATGCAGGCACCCTGCAGGTCCACATAGAAGAGGGTGGGAGACGCCAGGTGTTCAGTGTCAGTGCTCACGGTGGGTTCACCTGGCGGCTGGGCAGCGTGGATGTGCAGGCTGAGCTTGCCTGGAGGGTAAGTGCCTCAGCAGGAAGGGGGAGAGGTTCCCCATCCCCAGGGCTGTGTAGACCAGACTGCAGGCTGTGGGCTCTGCACCTTGCAGGTGGTGTTTGAGGCAGTGGGTGCAGGTGTGGAGCACTCCTACATGGCTCTGGACGACCTTTTCCTCCAAGATGGGCCCTGCACCCAGCCAGGTAGGAGCCTTGCTGCGGGTGGCACCAGATCCATGCCAAACCCAATTCCCTTGCCTTGGCCCAGCATGGGACACTGCCAGCCTCTGTCCAGGAATGGTGTTGGGGGCTGGGGAACAAGGGAAGTTCTGTTCGTTCACTAGCCACTTCCTTACAGGGTCCTGTGATTTTGAATCTGGCTTGTGTGGATGGAGCCACCTGGCCTGGCCCAGCCTGGGTGGGTATAGCTGGGACTGGAGCAGTGGAGCCACCCCTTCCCACTATCCTCAGCCCACTGTGGACCACACCCTGGGCACAGAAGCAGGTACACACTAGACAGAGCAAGAGACAAGAGTGGGAAGGTGGGCCCAGAAACCACACAAGCCCCTCTGTCCCAGCTGGCACCATGTGCAGCATACCACACCTGACTGGGCCTCATCCACCCAGCTTTCCTTGGGTCAGAGGCCATAGGGTCAAGGGGTCAGTTCCGCATTCCACCCTCTCATTTCCAGGCCACTTTGCATTCTTTGAAACCAGCGTGCTGGGGCCTGGAGGCCGGGCAGCCTGGCTGCGCAGCGAGCCCCTGCCTGCCACTGAGGCCTCCTGCCTCCGTTTCTGGTACCACATGGGCTTTCCTGAGCACTTCTGTGAGTTGGGCTGGGCCCACAAGTGCCTGGGTGTGAGGGAGCAGGGGGCAAGGGTCAGAGGTTGGGGGCTCCACCCCGCACCATGCCAGGCAAGCAGGTACTCTTCAGAGACCCTGAACCTGCCCTGCCCTGGCCCTACTCTTAGACAAGGGCGAGCTGAGGGTGCTCCTGAGCAGTGCCAGGGGCCAGCTGGCTGTGTGGGGCGAGGGCGGGCACCTTCGGCACCAATGGCTACAAGTCCAGGTCGAGGTGGCCAGCACTGAGGAGTTCCAGGTGAGATCCCAGGTGGGCTTTCCTCCCCCTCCTCCTTTCTCTCCCTTCTGGCCCTCAAGGCCTTTTCCTGCCCCATCAGATCGTGTTTGAAGCTACTCTGGGTGGCCAGCCAGTTCTGGGGCCCATTGCCCTGGATGATGTTGAGTACCTGGCCGGGCAGCACTGCCAGCAGCCTGCACCCAACCAGGGTGAGCACTGGGCTCCAGTCTAGAGATGGCTCCAAGGGTGGCCTAAGCCAGCCAGCTGTTATGGGTCTGTTGGGCTTGGTCTGGTTACATGCCAGTGTCCTGCATGTAACCCACGAGACCAGAACCCAAGGCCAGGCCTTGTGCCCTCCCTACTCTGCCCCACTGCCCCTCAGGGCAGAGTCACCTGGATTGGGATGTCCACGGGGAGTTTGTTGCCCCCTCCTCAGGCATGCCCCACCTGGCTGTGGGCTCTGTGCTCCCTGCACCCATTCCCAAGGAAGGCCAGCCCTGAGGGAGCTGCCAGGTCAGTGCAGAGACCATGGTGGGGCCTATGTTTGGTGTAACTGTTGGCTAGGAAGGGGTGGGTCCAGCTTGGAGTTAGGCCCCCAGGTCTGCAGCTGCTGTTGAAAAGACCAACACCCTCCTCTTAAGAGGGTGAACCCCAGAGCTGACAGGAGCTGAGGGCTCCTGGTAGCCCCAGGATTGCTCCTTGCCCTCAACTCTGGAGGGCTCAAGTCCAGGGAATCATGTGCCCTCTCTGCCCATAGGGGACACAGCAGCCCCTGTGTCAGTGCCAGCCGCAGTTGGTGGAGCCCTCCTCTTCCTCATACTCCTGATGTTGCTGGGACTTGGGGGACAGCACTTGCTGCAGAAGAGGGGCTGCCCCTTCCGGAGGGGCACAGACACTGCAGCCCCCGGCTTTGACAACATCCTCTTCAACGCGGTAAGGCACCTCAGGTGTGGGCGAAACCAGGGCTCCTGCCTCCATGCTTGCCACAATGGAGAATGGGCAGCAGTGGGCCAGCACCCAAGAGGAGGAGGTGGTCCAGACTGCTGCAGGACACCCAGTCCCAGCCGTCCAAGCCCTGCCTGTACTCTACACTGCTCTTGCCTCTCACAGTGGTCCTCACAAAGCTCCTTCTTTCCTCCTAGGATCAAGTCACCCTCCCAACATCTGTAACCAGCAACCCATAGGTCAGACAAGGCCTTGGCACCTCATGCAAACAGCCCCAGTCCTTGGTCAGACCTCAGCCAGGGAGCTGGACATGGGACCTCCTCCCAGTGTGGGCCAGGCCATGGGACTCAGGGGACATGCTGAGCTTCCATGTCCCTCCCCCTAGCCTGTGACTGCACAGGTGTATGTGGGGGGGCTGTTTCCCTGTTAATAAATGCCCATGCGGCAGCCCAGGCTCTCAGTGTCCATGTGCTGTGGCCAGTGGGTGGGTGACCCTGCTCGGGATTCAAGACCTGACCTGACACTGACCTGGGGGACATGCTTGGGACCCTCCTTGCTCCTCAATGCACCTGGCTGGGAAGATTAGATTCTTCTCAGGCTATGAAGCAGGCACGATCCACACAGAACCATGGGCACCAGCCCAAAAGGACCCCAGAAGCCACTGACCCAGACCAAGCAGGCACAAGAGCCTGTGAAGAATGAGAATGGGAGTTACCCTACAGCACAGGGCTAAAAGCAACTAAATATGGTGGGATGCAGCTGGCCTGGTGGGGAAGAATGCCACTGTCCAGCCAGAGGCCCCTGGATCTGCTATCCCCTGGTAAGAGGCACCCCTTCCCAGAGCCCAAGATGAAGGCCTGAGCAATCCCCAGACAGTGAAACTGATGTCCCTGGGTGCCCTGACACTCCTGAGCAAGTCAAAGGAAGGCAAGCTGCTCTTTGGGCTGAGGGGGCTATGACCCCCATGAGCAGACCTGGGGCACCTGCACAGTGACCTTGACACCTCTACCCCAAGGGTAGTTCCTAAGCTATGGCTTATTGCAGAGATGGCCCACTGCAGGGATGTGGAACCGTGAAGGCTGTCCTTGGGGAGGGGAGTGACATTCACACCTGGGCAGCCAGGTGCCAGCCTTGAAGGCTGTCCTTGGGAAGGGGAGTGACATTCACACTTGGGCAGCCAGGTGCTACAGGCTTAACCCTCCTCACAAACACCCGTCTGCTCCAAGGAGCATGGCTGATTCCCACCTGTCACAGGACTCAACCTGGAGAGGGTCAGCAGGGGGGTGTGGCCAGTGCTGCTTTGCTGACTAATGTCCACTATCCCAGCAGATGGGTGAAAAGGAAATGACCCTAAGAGAGACCAACCTTCAAGTCCCTTGGTCCCAATGGGGTGTCTATCATGAAGCTCATCTTTGTCCCCTCCAATTGTGGTCAAGGGCAGGGAACTGGATGAAGGATGCAGAGGGAGCAAAGTGCCATTTCCCCCCAGCAGGAAGGACACACACTCTTAAAAGCCAAAGGAGAGAAAGCAGCGCAGGGCACTGTCTCTTCCTAGCCACAGCCCCACCTCCTAGAGGAGGTCCTCAGAACTCCCCAGGCTTCCAAGCTAATGGCCTTGAGCAGATGCCCAAAGGAGAGAAAGCACCCCTCTGCATCCCACTCGAGGGACAGAAAGGCAGCAAGAAAAGAGCACAAGGCCAGCACTTTGCAAGGTTTTGCTTTGTTTGACAGCAGGTATGGGTGGAGGGGGCCCGCAGGCCTAACCCCCGTGTTCCGCTCGGCCATGTGAAGAGACCCACGGCAGTGCTGGTGGTCAGGGGACCAGCCAGAAGAGCTCAGCCGGAACGCACTGGCTTCGAGGCTTTGTGCTCATTTTGCCCGAGGCCCCTTCTCGATGGGTTTTCCGATGTCCTTGCCTCGGAGCTTGAGGCCTGAAATGGGCCAGTGGGCTGCTGAGAACCCTGTAGCCCACCACACCCACCCACCAGTCCTGGGGCCAGCAGGCATCCACTTTGCCTGAGTACCAGCTCCTTTTCCCATCTCAAGCTGCCCACCACAATCCTCCTGGGTCCCACCTGGGAGGACACCCCATTCCTCAGGGCCTCCACACACAGACACTACCACCTCGATCTAACTCTTTTAGGAGTGTGAGCTAGCAATCTTAGGAGGAGGATAAACACCTTGTCCCAGCCGAGTGGGAACACTGTGTTTGGTCACTTTGGAGGGACACTGAGGGAGTAGAATGTGGCACGTGGCCAACTCCTTAAGGGCAGATCCCAGAGGGCCACAGCCCCTGCGTATTTGGGCTCAGGGAGAATGCTGGCTAGAAGCCAGCCAGAGGGCGAGGGACCCAGGACACTACTTTCTCAGGGCTCTGAGTCCCTACTAACCCCTGAACAGCATGTGCCATCTGGAGGCAAAACTGGGCAGAATCCAGCAGCCTGGCTTCAAAAAACAGACCCTCACCTCAGCTTTCTCCACCCCTCCCAGCAGGGCACCGTCGGGCTGAGGCCCTGCGAGGAAGACTCACCAATGGCTCTCTCAATTTTGCCCAGAACCTGGTTATTTGGAATGGCCCGTCCACTCTCATAGTCTGCGATGACTTGCGGCTTTTCATTGATTTTCTGAAGAGAAGATGCACCTTAGTCACACCAGCCCTGCTGCGGGAGCTGGGGGAGACGCCCACAGGCAGCCCCCTCTGGTGATATAGGTCACACCCTATACAGATAGATCTTATGTGAGAGGGAGGCCTGGCTTCCCCTGAGGCTTCTGGGAGTGCTGGGGTGAGGACAAAGTGCAGGTCCCAAAGCCACCACATGGTGAGTCTCCTTCCCATGCAGTATGAGTGCCAGCCACCCACTTCCCCAAGCCGATGGTTCTGAGTCTCACCGTGGCCAGGTCCTTCTGCGTCAGCCCCTTGCTCTGCCGGCCCCGCTGGATCACTTTGCCCACCTCCAGGGTCACCCTGTCATGGTGCAGCTCCTCTGTCTCCCGGTCCAGCTTGGCCGTGTTCTTGGTTATCGAATGCTGCTTGTTCTGACCAGCAGCCCCTGAGTCAGCATGAGCAGAACAAAGGGTTTACAGTTAACAAAGGGAAAAATTATTTCAGATGGTGTCCAGACCAACAGGCTCCTCTAACAACATGGAAAGCCAGGCTGCCCCAGATTCACAGTCCTAAGAGTACACTGTTCCAGTCGCTCTCAGTGTGGGAAGTGGGTGGAAGGTAACAGTCCCTGCTGGACCGCATGCTCCCCAGAGGTGTGCTGATGACACCATGAACACTTCCTGGCTGCCCAGCAGCTGCAGCCACTGGCTGCCAGTACCCAACCACACCCTCCAGCAGATTATCCCACAATGCATCCTTGTTTTGCAGGTAAAAACACAAATACCTACATTTCTTGGATGTCTCCACATCTTCTCCTCGTCTCTGAGCCGCTAAGATGGCCTAGAAAATTAGAAAATGGCTTTTGACCAAAATTAGCTTGGGAATGTCTTGCACACAATTTAGGCCGCTGTTAGCCAATCAGCACATTGCTAATGGTTCTGAAGGGTTGATATGCAATGCTGTGTTCATTACAGCGGTCCTCTCTTATCCACTTTCACTTTTCACAGTTTTAGTTACTGCTGGTCAACCTGAGTCCAAAAATACTACATGGAAAATTCCAGAAATAAGCAACTCATAAATTTTAAATTGTGCATGTTCTGAGTAGTGTGATAAAATTTCTCATCACCCCACTCCATCCCACCTGAGACATGAATCATCCCTCTGTCCAGTGGTTCCATGCTGTATGTGCACCTGCCCATTATTCCTTTAGTCATCTTGGTTACCAGATCAACTGTTGTGGTGTCAGCACTGCAGTGCTGTGTTCAAGTAATCCTTACATGTAGTTAAGGCTAAATCACAATGTCGCCATGATGATTCACTCACTTCCCTGCATCATGGAGACACTGTATTGTCTTTCAAGGACAAGTACAGTTCCATAAGATAGACCACATTCAAGTTAACTTTTATTATCATGTTATTTTAGTTGATCTACTTGATCATTAGTTATTATTGTTTGTAAAGATTAAAGGACTGATATGTAATGCTGGGGCTGGGGCCATGGCTCAAGTGGTAGAGCACCTGCCTAGCAAGTACAAGGCCCTGAGTTCAAATCCCAGTACCACCAAAAAATAAAAAGTAAAACTTTGTATGGGTATGTATGAATAGAAGAAAACATTGAATAGGGAAAAAAATACACACACACATACATGGTCAAGTATCATGCATGGTTTCAGGCATCCACTGGGGGCTTTAAAATGTGTCCTCCAAAAATATGAGGGACCACTGTATACAAAACACTATACAATCAAATATCCAGGCAATGCCTAAAACCTACTACTAAGAGAAATTGGTCACTTCTCTTGCATTAAGACAGGCTTGACCTAGCAAATGTGAGGCCCTGAGTTCAAGCCCCAGTACCACCAAAAAAAAAAAAAAAAACCAGACAGGCTTGAGTTGGACATGGTAGCATGTCTGTAATCCCAGCACCCAGGAGGTTAAAGCAGAAGGATAGTGAGTTCAAGGCTGGCCTGAGCTGTGCAGAAAGACCCTTTCTCAAGAAAAGAGAAAGACAGGCTTGTGCGGGGGATATGGCTCAGTGGCAGAGTACTTGCTTAGCATGTACAAGAACCTGCTTCAAACCCAACACTATGGAGAAAAGGAGGGGTGGGAGAGAAAGAGAGGGCAGGGAGAGGGAGGGAGAGGGGGAGGGGGGAGACAGAGAGAGAGGGGGAGAGAGAAAAAGAGAGAGAGAGGGGAGGGGGGAAGAAAAAGACAAGAGTCTAAATGCTCCTGCAAAAGCAGGAAGGAATGCACTGCTGGTCTGCCATGGCCTCCTAATGAGAGAGATGACACATCCCACAGAAACCTGCGGTCGCCCTGGAAACGACCACTAACAGAGATGCTGTAGGGTCCTTGGTCACTGACTATTAACATTATGCATTTCCTGACGTTTCTAATGCCCCAAAGAAGTTTATGGGCCATTCTAAGTGTGATTTATTCAAAGGCTCTTTCTACACAGTTCATGTGACTCTTAGCTTGGACTATTAAGTTTCCTTGGGAAAAAAAGGCGTGAATTTGACTTTGATTGCATCTGATAGACCCAGGGCGGTTCAACAATGCCCAACCCCAGAACCCAGCTTCTCCCGTCCTGACCTGCACTTATGTCAGAGGTTCTGGTCAGAGGCCGCCAACAATTACCTGATTCACACATGACCCTTGAATGGGCCGCCCACGCTGGCAGCTTGCCTCTCCAGCACCCCATCTCCTACCCTTTAGGAAGGGTCCATCCACCTGCTCAGCAAGGCCCTGCCTTGGTCCTGTGTCCACCACATAATCCCCCGCCCACTGACCCCCATCTGGGGTCCCCACCCCTGCTCCAGGTCCACCAACCCTGGTCCCCAGCCTAGTTCTCTAACCTGTCCTTGCTCCTGTCCCCAGTGCCATCCCCATCCAGGTCTCCAGTCCCTGCCTCTACCCAGCGCCCAGTTCTCAGCCCTGTCCCTCAGCCCCTGACCCTTGCCCAGATCTCCTGCCCTCGGCCCTAGTCCCTCCCTTCGCTCAGTCCCCACCTCTTGTCCCCGGTCCCCAAGGCTCCTGCCCCACCGTTCCTGTCTCGGTCCCCATCCCTTGTCGCAGATCCCCCGGCCCCTGTTCCCAAGGCCCCCGCCCCCGGTCCCCGTCCATATCCTCCGGCCTCGGCCCAGAGACCGCTCCGCCCAGCCCGGCCGCTCTCCAGTCGGCCAGTCACCTGCTTGGACTTGGCCTGCGCGGCCGTAGGGCCCTTCTTGCGCAGCACCGTCACGGTGTCCCAGTCGCTCTCGGCCATGGCGCGGCGGGGGCGGCGGTCAGTCCGGCGACTCCGGCAGCTGCTCGAGACCCGGCGCGGCGACACGACGTCCCCTCGTAGCCTCCCCGCTTCCGGCGCCTGCGCAACAGCCCCGCCTCCGCCTCCTATTGGTCGAAGGCTCGAGGGGGCGGGCACTTCCCTCGGCTCAAGACCAATCCGCGCACCCGGTTCCTGCGGGACGCGCTGGGGCCGCCCGCGGGCGACGTCGGGAGGACGGCGTCGGGGCCTCAGCCGCGGGGCGAGTCTGGCGCGGGCGCCCGCAGGAGGAGTGGGGCGCCGGGGACGCGAGAGCAGAGGGGTGCGGGGCAGTGGGGATCGGCCTATGCGGGACAGGGAGGGGGGCCTTAGGCTGGGGGCGCGGGCGGGGCCGCCGCGTGAAATGGAGAGAAGGTGCGCGCGGAGAGAACCGGACCCTGGAGTCCTGGCTCTCCTGATGCCTGCGGGCCCGCAAAACCCCCGCCTCCGGGAAGCCTGGGCCCGCCACACCTTTGGGACGGCTGATGGCCTTCCGCTGGGCCCAGGCAGGGTCAGGGAGCTGCAGTGGCCTGGTTTTCCCTGTAGCAGAACTTCGGTTCGGTTCATCCCTCCCCTTTTGTATTTTTATTTTGTATTTTTTTTTTTTTTTTTTTGGCGATGCTAGGCAGGCGCTCTACTACTTGAATCGCTCCACCAGCGCTGTTTTGTGGGGTTTTTTTTTGGGGGGGGTCTCACGACCTGTGTGCACGGCGCTGGCTTCGAACCGCGATCCTCCTGATCTGGAACTCCTGAGTAGCTAGGATTACAGACCGTGAACCACCGGTGCTCCAGACGTTGTTTGTTTGTTTGTTTGTTTTAAGTCAGGGCGGCAGGCTCCCTAACACTTGAACCACTCCTCCAGCCCTACCTAATATTTCTCTAGTGTGCTTGATCAAGTTTGCATCTCATTGTGTCAACACTGGCTTGAGTAAAACTCAAGGTTCTCACAGCTGAGTTCACGGTAGATACTGCTACAAGGTTTGTTCCACAAACACTGGAATTCTGATAAATGCGATCCGGTCCAACAAGGAAAAAAGATACATGGTGTATTAAGTTGTATGTGCTGAAGTACTAAATACATTCTTAGAGGAGACAGGTTTTTGTTTCCTTGATTTGGTTTTGGTTCGTTGAGACAAGGTCTCGCTGTGTTGCTCAAGCTGGTCTTGAACTCACAGATCTCCTGCCTCAGCTTTCTCAGTGCCAGGATTATAGCCATCACCACTGCACTTGGCCCAGGCCGAAGCAGCCAAGTCCTCTGCTTATGTTTTGCAGCTTGGATGACCGGAAGACTTTTGCAGAGACTTACCACTGGCTTGATTTGTGCAAACCCTGTTCCCCATAACCAAAATAACCACAGCAAGATGGAATGGAGTGTTGGCTCACATGGTAGAGTGTCTGCTTTGCAAGCACACAGCTCTGAGTACAAACCTCAGTCCCACCCCACACCTCCGAAGAAAAGGAAAAAACATGCTTTTAAACATTATCAGCCGTGCACCTGTGACTCACGCCTGTAATTGTAGCTACTCAGGAGGCAGAGATCAGGGGATTGCAGTTTGAAGCCAGCCCAGGCAACTAGTTTGTGAGACCTTATCTCGAAAAACCCTTCACAAAAAATAGGGCTGGTGGGGTGGCTCAAGGTGAAGACCCTGAGTTCAATCCCCAGTACCAAAAAAAAAAAGCTATTATGCGGTATGTACATGTATGGGCCCTTACATGGTACTCATTAATATGATACAGTTTTTATATTTTTATGTATCATTTAATAAAATTTTAAAAAAGCTAAAAGCCATAAGCTTTAATTTCAGATATTGAACCTTATAAATTGCTCAGTAATATCATTTTATTTGATTCTTTTGTGTGTGTGTGTGTGGTACTGGGGCTTGAACTTGGACCCTTCACCTTGAGTCACTCCACCAGCCCTGTTTTGTGAAGGGTTTTTTGAGATAGGGTCTCGCAAACTATTTGCCCAGGCTGGCTCTGAACTGCAATCTTCCTAATCTCTGCCTCTCCTGAGTAGCTAGGATTGCAAGCATGAGCTACCCGTGCCAGGTCTGTTTGATTCTTTTCAGTAGTTTCAACTTATCTACTGAGATTTTGTTTATTCATTAAAAATGCCTTCATTCATTGAACTAATTAAAACAGCTGCATTGGAGGCCTTTTTTTTTTTTTTTTTTTTCCGTGAGACTGGGGTTTAAACTCAGGGTTTTGCACTTGCAAAGCAGATACTCTACCACTTGAGTCCAGACAGACTGCAGTCCATTTTGCTCTGGTTATTTTGGAGATGGGAGATCTCTTGAACTATTTGCCTGAGCTAGCCTCACCAAACCTCAGCCTGCCAAGTAGGTAGAATTACGGGTGTGAGCCACTGGCACCCAGCTCAAGGCCTTATCTTCTAAATCAACATCTGAGTTTTGTTTTTTTCTTTTAGGTAGGGTCTTGTGAGGTAGCCCAGACTGGCCTCAAACTTGTGAGTCTCCTGCCTCAATTTCCAACATGCTGGAATTAGAGATGTGCACCACGGCACCCAGCTGATTGCTTTGTTTCTTGATTATGACTGTAGAGTCCCTCAGTTCCTCTCAATTTCTTTCTGTGTCCTGATCAAAAGTTATAGATTGCCTTGACTGCTCAGACTTGAACCCAAGCTGGGTCTTGAGCATTCCTAAGTACTGATGAAGGTGTTTAATTGTTGCCCAAAACACTGAAAGAAACTGGCCATGACTCTGAGCCAAAATTCCTCACCCCCTCACATAAAGCCCATGTTCCCCACCCCAGCTTCGGACATAGCAGGTAGGACATGCCTTTCTCTCACTGTCTGACGTGAGAAGCTCCCCAAGTGTATACTCAAAACACTAAGTCCTCTCACAAGAACCATTTTCATAAATCTGGAGATCAAGGAAGAATTGGAAAACAAGCCTGGAAAACCCACTTGTACCCATCACACAGTAACAGCCCACTGTGAACAACTATTGGGGAAGTCACTGTCTGTAGTGCAGTGACCACCCACCAACCCCATCTCTAGATAGCTTGGGGCAGTCCTTTGTGGTACCACTCCTGCCACCCCTTCTGGAGTGACCCTGGCTGAGGATTTGGTGGGACAAAAGAAAACCACATTTACTAGCTAGGCATGGTGGTGCACATCTGTAATCCCAGCACTTGAGAAGCAGGAGAATTGTGAGCTAAAGGCCAGCCTGGCTACATAGTAAGGGGTCTGTCTAAAAAATCCAAAACCATATTTACTTACTTCTTTGCATGTGTGGCAACTTTGTGCTGGACATTGTGAAAATCACATCATTCAAAGTCTTTATAAACTTGTGTTTGTATTTTGGTAGCACTGGGGTTTGAGCTCGAGGCCTCTGGCTTGCTAGGCAGGTGCTCTACCACTTGAGCCATGCCCGCAGCCCTTTATGAAGTTTTGGCTTCTTCCTGCAGGCATTTGCATTGTGTGCCTGTGTTAAACCCCCACACTGCAGCCCAGAAAGTGCTCAGTTACTTGACAATACAGCACTCACTTTCCCCTTCCCCCCACACTCCCCCCAGAGGCTTCTGCTTCTGGTTCTTGCCAACTGCTTTGTGGCAGCAGCCGCTAAGCTTCTACTTCCACATTCTGGAAGGACACCCTCACTCTGTGCTCACTTACTTTTCCCATTTTAAGCTGTCTTGTTCGACATTTGAGGAGTGAGCACTTTGACACACGTGCGCATGGAAATGCACACTGCCTCCCACCCTCTTAGCAGGTTGCATCACAACCTCCAGTCACGTCTTTTTTTAGTGTTTTGATGACTATGACCAGACAAGTGTTGCTCACAACAGATGCACGCGGTGTACTGTGTCATATTCCTACATAACTTCCTCAGAGAGTCACACCATCAGGTGCCCTGTCCCTTTGTTTCTGATGCCTCCTCCTCTGCAAGCAGTTCTCCACAGCCCCATCCAAGTGCACTGCCTCCAGGAGCCAATGCTGGCCTCTTGTGTGTTTGCTTCCCTGCTGGCGAACATTCTCCAGTAGCTTGCAGACACATGGGGGCAGCTCTCTGAGAGCCTGCATGTCTGAGTGGCTCTATTCCACCTTTGGGCTGGAATGATGGTCTGAGCAAGAACAGTGGCAGGAGAGTGTTTTCTCTCATTGTCACCTGGTGTCCAGATCACGGCAGAGAGCCTGGTATTCATGCTCAGACCTTTATCTATGACCCACTTTGTCTGGTCCTTCCCCCACCCCCACCCCAGAAAATTCCAAGGTCTTCATTTGAAGGTCATTGTTCTGCAACTTCAAAATGAGGGACTTGGTGTGGCTTCTTTCTTCTGTCATCTGTTCAGCATGCTAGGCCCTCTAAATTTGGAAAATAATACCCTTCAATTTGGGCAATGTTCTCCTGTTCCGTTTCTTTGATAATTTCTTCCCCTTCTGCTATGGTTTGAGTGTGTCCCCCAGAAGCAAATGTCGGAAGCCTAACACGCAATGCACAGCTGTTGGAAGGCAGGGGGCCTACTGAGAGGTGATCAGGCCATGAGGGCAGAGAGGATGGATTACTGCTGCTGTTTGGGGAGTTGGTTCATTATACAAGAGGGCGTTCACCTGGCCCCCATTGTGCTCGCTCTCTCCTTCTCTTTTTTTTCAGTGATTACCTTCCTGCTTTATTTTCTGACTTTTTTAGGTTTCACACAACAAGCACGTATTACTCATATTTTTACAGTGTTGGGGATGAAGCCCAGGGCCTTGTGTATGCAAGCAAGTGCTCTCAAAGTCATTTTATGATAAAATCATTTTCAGTTTTAGTTTAAAAAAAAAACAGGCTGTTTGAATAACACCCCATCCCCCCCATAGAACTTTTCTATGATGGAAAAGTTCCTTCTCAAGTACAGAGCTGTTTCCACTCCAGGGGCCACAGCTTCTGGAGAACAGGCTGTCCCCAGCACTAAAGGGAACAAAATGGCTCCTTAATTCCCTAAACCTCAACCCAACCAAGTCCTTTCTTTAGGCCCTTAAGAAAATCTGATACCATCTTTTTATGGGGCTAGCTGGTGGTGTCCTCAGCTCTGAGGGAGCAGCTGGCATTC